CTGGTTGGCTGGCTGCTTGGCTGCTTGGCTGCTTGGCTGCTGTCGGCAATGGCCTTAGATACAGATTTCTTATCATTAATTAAACTCAAGCATGTTAGCTACCGTGTTCAAAGATATAAGGCGCTCTGGGCACGGCCACGGTTCAAGCAGCCAGATCGAAAATCTTTCAACTGGCCGCTGGGTCTGGTCTGGTCGGGTCTGGGGCGGGTGCGAAGCGGCACACGTCCTATCGCTGGCACGCAATCGTCTTGGCTTGTGTGGAGTGCTACTCCCTCACTGTGCCCCATTCCATCCTGTCTGCGCGTCGAAGATGTCAGGTCAGCAAAAGTTATCGGATAAACATTGAGAGCAACTTCATTTGAGCAAGAATTAGTTGGTATCAGCTGGTATTCCCTGATACAAATCCCGTTTCAGGAGTTTTATTTAATTTTGAAGAAGCTTTTTATTGTATTTGTGCACAAAAGTGGATTTATGTAACGCACAGAAGGAAACGCAAGTCGCTTCCGAACCCCTTAATGTACATACCGAGTCATTAGCCGAGTCTATATCTGTCTGTCTGTCTGTCCGTCAGTCTTGTTTGTCGGCTAGTTCTCAGAACTGGCTAGAACCCCCAAAATGTTCCTTCACACTGATACAACCGTCACACAAACGGCGAAAATCTGCTGTATACACAATTTAGAAGATATGAGAAATACAAATTTCGTAGGGAATGATCCTATCTATCAGATCACCGAATTGAGATTAGGTTGGATCATTATTATAACCGAAATGATCACCCACCCCGCACAGCAGCTTTTATTTTTTGCACATTCTCTCATTCCACACTCTGCTTCGTCTCTAGGGGAGGGGAGCGAGCTAAAGGAGCGTGTTGTCGTGAGAAGTGATGAAGATGTAGATGACACACGTAGAAAAAATTTCAAATGTAAGGTACCACTAAGGTACAGATGTCCTTCAGAGTGTACCAGGCATAAAAGTTGTGACGCGTAAGAAGCGTCTCACACGTCGCTCCATGTTTGATGCTTGAAATAAAGGCAAATGTGGTTGTATCTTCGTATAATTCCCATAATTAATTTTAATTCACGGGTACGTTATGTGGGAGCTGCGGCTGAAGACAGCTTTGCCTTGACAAAGCATTTTCAAACAGGAAAACAATTGGATTTCCCCCCCACCTAACGAACACTAGTTGCAAAAGCACACAATTTTTGTCCGAATTTATGGAGGTTTCTTTTTTCAGTGACTTGCCAAAAACTGATTCCCCCAGGCAGAAACTCTCTCCACCCATGGCTGTGCTGCTCATCTCATCTTGCCTGGCGTTGTCAACAATGTAATTTATCAGGCAAGCGACATAATTACCTGCCACTTATGGCCATAAAAAAAGGACAGACAGAATGACGGAGCAGGAGGCTCAGAGAGTCGGAGAGGCAGCGATCCAAAGTGTGGTATACCGGGGACATTCGAAGTGGAAGTGGAGCCTGGGTAGGTGCATTCAAATGGCGTCCGCAGACGCAGACCAGCGACGAACCGCGGTTGGTGCTGAAGGATTTATGTTCTTACAAAACGCTCCAAGGCGCTTAACAAGTGGGTCCCAGCCGCCAATCGCCAACCGCCAGCCGGCGACCAGGCCATAGATTGATCGTCTTCGTGATGGGAGGGTGGAGGGGAACATGGGGAGATGAGACGTTGGCAGGGCAGGGAAGGGAGCATGGGGCGTATGTGCAATGAAAATTCCCGCCATTTGGCTGCCGCCGTTTAGCGCCTGTCTTGCCTTCTCTACCTTCTATTCTACCCTCCTTCACTGAAACTGATTTCCCACCACCGGCGGCTTTCCCACTTTGATCTTAGTCTCCCTGGAAGCTGTGAAGGAGCTTCATGTCAGCGTCTGGTCCCAGCTACAGGCTGTTGAATGGCCAGGCTGAAAGCGTTGACAAGTCACATGAGCATTGTGATCCGACCAGAGATTTAACATGTTGGCCCACGCTATCTAATTGTCTAGCTGGGACCGGGGTGTTCGCCCACCGCAGACAGACGTAATTTGGCGGACAAATGTTGGGACATTTTATACGGAAATGAATCATATGCTTGCTCTAATTACCGTTGATTGATTGTAATCAGAGGTTACATTTCCATTTCCATACCAGATTCCATTCGATGCTCTTCGTTGAATATAGTAAGTACTTATAAGTAGTATCTACTGATCAGCGCATTCAGCATTAATCATGCTGCGCACCTTAAGCATAACTTTTTTACATTCATTCTCGATTGTACAGTCATCCAATTCGCTGCCAAATTCCTCACGGATTCCACATCCATATATGCAATGTATTCCTTTGCTTCGGCTCCACTCCCTCGGAGGCATCGAGCGAGTACCACAGCACGGAGCACGGAACAATAACAGAGAGACTTCTGTTGACCCCGCCACGTGAACCCACCTGCTTGGGCTTATCATTTGCCGTTAGAGGATGCTCGAAACAGCTCCAGTCCGGACTTCTTAAAGCACACAAATCGCCAGACAAATTCATATTTTATTGCCTCGGACCATGACCGGGCTGAGGCATTAACAAACAATGCCACAGCAGCAACAAAAGCAACAACAACGGACAAGAAGCTCAATGGAAAAACAAATATTTTCACTCCATGAAAAAGCTGCTCCTGGTTGCCTAATCTGAATCCAGCTTCTGCTTGTTTTGGCCATTGTTTTTGCCGCTGTTGCTGCTTTTTCCTTTTTTCTTTTGCCAAATTGCATTTTGAACATAATTTTCATATGTCGCTCTGGCAGTTATAATCACATTCACAGCTCGTTAGCCGAATCCGAATACAAATAAAATTACCGAAAACAAAACCCGAAATCCAGCCAGCCACAACCCACCTGTGACTGCAGGAGGCAGTCTTTGGACTTCGTGGTCTCTCCTCCACTGCCTGTTTGGCCATAATTGTCGGGCACCAGCATATTGTACATACTCGAACTCGCAGAAGAGGAGCCAGCCGGCCATCACCATACTGACCATTAGGCGGGCTGAGAGTGCGTTTTGCATTTTGTGCATCTTCATCGATTTCACCATTTGGCGCGCGGTGCATAATTGGCCAGGCCGTGGCCGCGTCGAAACCAAGACCCAGGTCGATGCTGAAACCTGGCCCAGGCAACGGAACGTTTTCTTCTGTTCACCGATGATTACCGATATTGCATTTGCAGGCTATGAAAAATGCGTTGGGTGCGTGAAAATGTTTTCCATTTTCCTTGTTTCTTCCACCCAAAATCTGGTGGTTGCTTTTGAAGTATGAAAATCCCCCATTCCACTTGAATTCATTTCAGACAAGGTTATAATGGCAGCTCCACAAAAGGAATCATAAACGATTTATTTGAATTAATTGCAACTCTTAGCCTATCAAATCCTATCAAAATATGAGTCAATTATATAAAATTACTAATTAACAGAGTGTTGACCTTAATAATACGCAGATCGAAGGAGAAAAAGAATGTGTTATTAGAGAGAAAAGTTGAAAAAGAAGGAGAAAGTATTGCCTTTTCGAGCGTAGAGCCTACCTAACCAGAGATTGGTTTGTGGAGAATGAGAATTCCGTGGCAAGAACTACGGATTGTATTCTGCTGTTTTGTATGAGGAAATCAGTAGACCAAGCGCAGGAGCCACATAATCTTCTATTCCTTAGTTTTGAGCTCCTGTTCGATTTCACAAATGTTAGTTTTCATAACAAGTACAATTATTAAGTATAAATAATTGATTTTATTAAATATACCTGATTCAAAAGTCCGCGCCAAGATCTCCCACCCTAATCCAACTATCTGGCAACACTGCATTAACCTTCAAAATTCATGTTCATGTATAGTTTGTGTAAATTAAAAAAGTTGCTCATGAATGCAACGCATGTTTGAGGATAGAGCCCAGTACGGTACTCGATGCGCTAAATGTTTTTTCGAGCAAATCAGCGATGATATTCCAATGGAAACGATTAGAAATAATCCCGGTTTTTTTTCGTTTGCTCACGGTTTAGTACTCAGATCACGTGAAAAAAATACCAGAAAAACATCCGAAAGGTGCTCGAACGGAAAATAGATTATATCTATCTTCTCAAACATACTCAAAATTGGAAGGAAACAAGCAAAACAGCGCAAAACTGCTAGAAAAGAGCAAATCTAATTATATTTATACAGTCTATCGAAAGCTGATTACATATGTATATATTTATGTTGTATTAATTGTTCGGAGCAGCAAATACATACCTATTAAGAATTCGCCGGCACCACACTCCACATTTGTCCACCAACAAATGCCCGGGAAAAGCAGAGAGCGTGTTTATTATTTTTCATTCATTTATTCATTTTTCAATTTTTATGTTCATCGGAAAAGTTTCTTTCCAGTGAGAGCAACTTCGAAAGAGCGCTAAAAAATAAAAATAAATCTCTTTTGATTTTGAATTTTAATTGGTTGAAAGTTGAAAACGTGTAAAAAAACGAAAAAAATATTAAAAGTATTTATTTTCGATATAGAATTTCAAATTACTTTGTCACCATATCCAATCTCAAATATTACACTGCTTTCAAACAAAAAATTTGAATATCTAACAGGTTGTATTTTGTTAACAAACACAAAACGGTGTAGTCCATAGAGCATGCACTTTGCCCACTTTGGTCATACTGGCCACTGAGCAAAAAAATATTGCGCTTTCTGTAGGCATATGACATACATGTGTACAATACATGTGAGTGCTGTCGAAATAAAACTTATCGCTTTTAAATGTTGGTATTTTTTTAATTTTTACTCAGTATTTGTCGTGCTTTTTAATATAAGACAATCTTAAATTTAAATAATAAAAAAAAAACAAACAAAATAATAGTTAAATGAAAGCCCAGATTTTGTGTTCATTTTTTTTAGTTAAAATGTTAACAATAATTGAAATTTCTCTCGCGCTCTCGTCTCAACAAGAACTCACTGAGTAGTTTCTCTTTTCTCTCAGAAATGAAAATGGGAGAGCGGCATTTCAGTTCGGACTTCAGCTTGTAACGGTAGCGGTAACGGCAGCGCGGTTTTCGGGAAATCGCTGGATGCCGCCGACGTCGTCTTTGTCGTCGCTACTCTAACAATAATAATAAAAAAGCGCTAAACAAAAGTTATACTAGGTAATTGGCTATTAATTGTGGTTACCGACTGGCCATTGTGGAGTCATCAACTTTTTGCAAATCTCAGTGGAAGCAAACTGGAAAACAAAAGAAATACGAAGTAGTGTAATAAAATCAAAATAAATTGAAAGCAAAAAATCCTTAGTACACACACGGACGGCGGCCGCTGTGACTGTGTTTGTTTGTGCGTGTGTGTGAGTGTGCAGCAGCAGCTTGTGAGGCCCGCGCATGCGCCAACTCCCGCAACCGTAGTCGAGTCGGGTTTCTGTGCATTAATTGCTTTTGAGTTGAGGAGCCTTCATCGAAATCATTTGAAGTTTCCAGACGATAGGAGCAGATCAGGCGGTAGGTGGTAACAAGTTTTGGTCGTTGTAAGCTAAGCTTCACTGTAGTTCCCCCCGTTCTTTTCATCGAAAGAGTGGTCCGCCCACTCACACTCTCCACTCTCTGTTACTCTGTCTGCGCTGCTCCCCCTGGCCCATTCAACCACCCACCCGCACATTTACTACACGCGCTCTGCCGAAAAGCTCATTCTGCGACGTCGTCTGTCTGGCCCGTTAGCGTAAGTAAGCTTTTTCTTTCATTCAAGTTGCTGCAGTCGGCGTCGCGTCGTCGTTATGTTGCGTGAAAGTTAATTCCGTTTACTATCGGAATTCATCAACGTCATCATCACCTCACCCACCCATTCTTGGCCAGCGCATTCGCCACCCCTGGCTAGCACCTGCCCCTTCGTCTTTTTGCCGGCTTTTGGCGTAAAGCATTTAAGCAGTAATTGACATGCATTTCCCGATATGTGGTGACAGATAACCAAAGTTTCTGCTGCCTTTTCTACTCGTAAGTATAAGTAGGAGTAGTCACGTTCTCTCCCGTACTAGAGTGTTGCAAGTGGAGCACTAACTGTGGGTGGGGTTACCAGGGGATTATTATCATGATGTGGATTAGGAGCTCATGTCATAGCTCTCTTTTCATCATCTTGAGTGTGGCTTAAAATGGTCAATTTTTTGTGGTTTGTAAGTTTTTGCCTGTGGAATTAAAAGTCTCTCACTTATGCAAACTCAATATTAGGTAAAACTAAATATTTATATAGATATCTCAGGTGGCACAAAACGGTGCATTAATCAACTTTAAGTATAATGAAATTAATTCTAAGAATTTCCAAAAATTAGTATTTTAAAGACAGTTAATGCCACTTCATATGCTAAACACTGCTTTTCAGTCTTTTTGCGTGATGAGACACGCGTTTGATAAATAATAGACAAATAAAATTCAATTCAATTCAATTCTCACGTCTGAATAGATAAACTCCAACCATTTATCCACCTAAATCACCACCTTCTTAGGTCTTAGGTCAGTAATTGTTCCATTATTTACAAACTAATATCTTGTAATCCGCTTTTTGGTCTAAGGGCCCAACGTAGAGAAAGAGACCAAATTACGCCAACTTAAACAGAGACAGGTTTAATTAGTGCATTAGAGGACTTCTTAGCCTCCATTTGTGACCGTCTCTTGTTCCATTACCTTTTGTCATTCATCCCGGCTTTCAGCAGCCCACCCACCGACTGCAGGAAAATATAGCTGTTAAATTGCACTTAATGAAGCTGCATCATCACATTTTGCATTTGAGGCTTGCCCCGAATGCAAGGGTGAACGAATGGGCCGAGTGTTTGTCTGTGCTTGAGCCTCTGTCTGCTGTAGTCACTCCCATTGGCAGTTCTTTCCGCAAGTGAGCAGATGAGGAACAATACTAGAGACATTTGCATTCAACAGACAAATGAGTGGAAAATATGCCAAGACACAGGCAATTAATAAGGGAGAAGCCAGCCAGGTCTCCTTCCTCACCTATGTATATAATTCACCTTTCTGACTTTTGTCTTTCGCCACCTGCTGTTAGCCGCCTTCAATGATTACGGACACCTTCCTGTTCCCCGTCAGCGTGCGACAGAGGCCCGACCCCAAACGCTCCAGTCTCATTTACATGAGTGTTTGCCTCAGCAATGCATACTGGTCCTGCGCTCTTCCTGCACTGCACAGAATATTAGATCTTAAATGGTCTTCCATCATTTTGGAGACTATCTTTATTGTTACTTGGGACTGGGACGGAGATTCGATAAGATTTTTTGTGGAAATCATTGCTGAGATTAATTAATAGATGGCACGTTTTACTTTTCGAAGTTTTCGTAATAAATGTGTAGTAAAAATCCAAACATCAATCCATGTTCATTCGTTTGTGTAAACGTGTGGAAGTCTTGAAAGGTGAAGGAACTACTTTATAATATAGAAATATGTTTTCTGTAAATCTTAGCACCAAAAAACCGCTTACCGTCTGTTCCGTCATTACAATCTTGTTCCATTAAAGTATTTCAGTTTAGGGATACTATTTGATAACAAGATATTTTCATAGCTAATTTTAAAAGCTATTTTTCTGTTTTCAAAGCTAGTTATTTATCCGCTTTTCGAGTGTAAAAACAAGTCCCACTTGGCCACGACACAACAAGTACATGCTTGGCGATTGCTTCTACTTGGCGGGCCGCCCTGGAATACCAACTGATATGCCAACACACACACCCACACACCCACACACATTTATGTCAATCAATACAAACGCATTTTCATAATTAATCAATGCCGAATAATACGTGCAGATACGTAAGTGGAAGGAGGCTGGAGTATTATGTGGGGGAGTGTGCTAATAAGCAAATCTCAGAGGTTTGTTTTGTCTTTTGTCGGTCGCAGCGGCGGTTTTGTGGTTACCGCATGAAATATCTTTCCGAAGCCCACACACGAGGTGACAGGAGGGGACCAAGCCAACTGTGAAAGCCATGTTTACACTACGTCAGGCATAAGTGATAGTGAACACCTATAAAAAGATATTTGAGAGTGGAGTTATATGAAAAGAGAATATAAAATATCAAATTATCCATTGTCTAGTTAGACATGTGAGTCCACGAGGAAATTTGTTTGTCTAGTCTTGTTTAAAATAGTTAAACATTTGATTTTTGTATTTAAAAGTCAAAAAGTCTCTTAGTTCCATGGTTTTAACGTGGCAATAATATTTTCTATGGCAGTACTTTTTTTAATTTTTAAAGTCTGTTATTTTTTTTAGAGGTAGCGCTTCTTCCTTTCACATAACTTAAATATCTTACATCTGGTTGTAATGAAAATTATTCAATCAACATTTCTTAAAAAATACCTCACGAAACCAAAATTGCTGCATTTCAAAGCTTAAAACTTGTAAACGGTAAGCTAAAACCACAAAGTGTTTAGGTACACTTTATAGATGCATTGATCAGCCTTATAGCATAGCAACGTTCATTAGCTAAGCCTCCCACTTGAGTTCTCGCAGGTCGGGGCAACTAAATTATTAACGCATAAGTCTAGCCACCTTTCCTGCACCATATCAAGTGGCAAAGTCTCTTTGAGCGAGAGTGAAGTGGCATGTTCTACGTATAATGTGTATTTAAAGATCATTAGTACGCTATTTATATGTAGATATAGAAGCCACCAGACTTAGTAAACGTACAAATGCATGTACTTATGTAGGTACATACATACATATGTATGTAACTACATTATGTCGGCTGCATACCTATACATATGTATGTACATAAATATATAGGGGTTTATCGATTGCCACCAGTTGAGCCTTAGCTACATTTCTGTGTGGCTGAATGGTTAAGAATGATTAAGTGATTCAATGGAAGCAGCGGAGGGCATCAAGAGTAGCTCTTGGTAAGAGCTGGTGGAGCCCGTGCGGTCGTTGTGGCTGATGTTGGTGGGTGTCAAGGACAAGCGGCAAGACATGTGTTCGCATGTGCCTTTATCGAAACCCAACAGGATGTGGGTCACAAATCCAAACAACAAAAATGGCAAAGTAATTGGAATTCAGCTTCTAATGATGACTATGCAAAATCTGAGTTGAATGGAAAATTATACTCGATCTATTAAAATACATACACACATACACACACATATGTAGGTACATATTGTATGTAAATACATACGTATGTCGTAAATTTAATCGAAAATTGGGAGCGAGTATTCTCTCCTTATTCTCCTCCCAGTTTAAATATATTTTAAACCTTAATTTTCCTCTCATTCCGCCATATATCGATGTCAATTTACGGATAAAGATCTAGACGCCATTAAATTTATAAAAAACGAGTAAGGAAGTTTGTAAAACGCTTCATACGCGTCACAACTTTTATACCCGGTACTCAGCTAGTATACATACATATGTACATACTTACATACATATGTATACATATGTATTCATTAGCGTAGGAGTATACGCTGCATACTCGCAGACTTCAGGGAAATGATGTATGTTTTTATCATTACGTTTTTAACGAATTTTATATCTTACATTTTCTTCACCTACATACATACATACATCACCTTTCACATTAACAAGTCTTTTAGTTTGACCCCGTCCTGAACCCGTCTGAACTTAATTCTTAGATCTGATAGATATTGCCATTCTCTACGGAATTGAGTTTTTGGTTAACTTATTTCTTCAACATTGGATGTAGCTGATTTTTGCCATTTTGTGTGGAGGAATTTTTAAATACACATGTACGGTGTGATATCATAGCAATCGCAATGATATCCAGGCGCTCATCGAGATGGGCAGACAGACATAGACTCGGCCATTGATCCTGATCAAGAATGCATGTACATATGTATATACTTTATGGTGTCGGAAATGTTTCCTCTGTGTTCCGACCACAAATACAACATACCCTATTTACTCTTCAATTACCGGGTATAAAAACAATGTGAGCAGCTTCGACACATGCACGCATACGCTCGCAGACACTCGCACTCACACATCCGCCGCTTCAGGGAAATGATGAAAATTCCATGAAAACGATGGAACCTCTGCAGAGGCTCTTCAGAGCTCTGGAGGCAGCAGCAAAAAACGAAGCAAGAGGCAACCATAAATATTTTTCGAAATAAATTCTCGTTTACAAATTATGATTTTATGACTTTTTGATGGCGCCGCCACAAGCCCACACACTTACGCAATGCACAAACACACACTCCGACACATTGGGGTCATATATTTCCGCTCAGGGATAGAGAGAGAGAGAGAGAGAGAGAAAGAGTGAGAACGGTGGCGAATCGAAGGCAAAACGCTTTACGTATTTATAGCCCCTTCACGCTGCCTGTGTTTCCGCCTTACATATGTATCGATACAAAAGGCTCTACCCACCACCACCCCCTTTATCAAATAAACAGAACCACACACAGACGAAAAACTTCACACATTTTGCATTACAAACAGAAAACAAACCTTAAAGCGGCGCCCAAAAAAAAAAGTTGTTACACAAAAGCGAGAACAAATTTCGCTAGAGCTAAATGCAAGTTCCATGTGTCTCTCTATACCTCTCTGTCCTTTCTCACTCTCTCTCTCGCAGTGTGTGGTGTGTGCTGCAGCAGCTGCTGCCATTTCCAAGCTTTTTTCCTTTTCCCTCGATTTTCGTTGCCTACTTTTAGGAGCACCATTTATGACCGCCTGGCATTAAATTAGCCAAAGCGCAGCATGATAAATGGCACTGACGATGGCGACAAGCGACGTCCGGCGCTTATTAGGGCCGACCGCACAGTTGGCCCGGAATATGATGTAGATGGTGTGCAGGAGGGCGACGCGAACCCTAACCTGCCATTGCCGGGCGGAGGACACATCCGTACAAATAGTTTAAATCTCATTTGGGCCCAGTTTGTTTGAGGGTAATAGTGCTCTTATTTGGCTTTAATTTAGTTGTCGCCAATGGAGTTTTTTGACAGGAATAGCACTGAGTTGTTTATTGCAAAGAGAGGCCACCATTAGGTGGGGGTTAAATAATAGTTCACTAAAATTTCCTAAGTGAATTTTGTTTGGATTTTGGGAAGATTCACAAAATTCTCACACTTTGTAGTGATATTAGCCGCCAGTGGTTAAGAAATTAAATTGAATGATTGGGAAAGAAGCGTGTAGCCGATTGACCTGTTCATTGTTTCAATGCGTTCAGTTGGGAACGACTGAAGTTTTTCAGTTGTAGTTTCATATTTCTAGAGGTACGGATACCGATAAGCGAATCACAATTAATTTAATCATATTGTAATTCTAATATTAACGAGTAGGAACGTTTGTGAGACGCTTCGTGCACGTCACAACTTTTATACCCGGTACTCAGTCAGTATATCTGTCCTGGTGTTTTTTTTCGAATCTCACAGTTTATATTTCTTTTTACATATGTACATATGTCATCAACATCTACATCACTTCTCCCGCCAACGCACACTGAATGGGGCAGAGGGTTCGAGCGAGAAAATAACAACAAGAAGCAAGCATAAGAAAAGCTGCTAGACCAATTCCACTGAAAATTAATGTCTTCGTCTTCGGCTATGATAATGATCACATCTAATCGCAATTCGTTGATCTGCGAGTAACAAACATAGTTTTCTTATCTTCAGTCTTTCGAATTGAACAAGTGATACCTTTTTGGAGAGCCTGACATTACACACCTGTACACATTAGAACCCATAGAGATCCTAGAACATTTGCATTCCATCTTCTTGTATTACAATACCCTCGAAAAGTGCTGTTAAATGAAATAGTAGTGCTGGGTGCAAGTATTAAACAATACAAAAAGCGAAAAACCAAAATTCGGAGGTAGAATGGAAATTCAAAGCTAAGTTGCTCCTGCAGGAGTTGCTAGATGTGCTCCGGCTGTTATATTTACCCGTTTCAGCTAAAACAAGAGCCCAACAAATTTTTTTTTTTCTAAATAATTGTCTTTTAGTAGATATTTGAAAATGGTTGAAGGCAAGTCCAAGGTAGGAATGGAATTTCATCCGAAAAGGTCGACACTTTTCCATGTCTCTATTTGGGATCTAACTATCCAATCCATTTCTTACAATCCTTTCGTCTAAGCAATTCTGCAATATTCCCAAGCCCACAACAACAACTTCGTTGGGAACAAACCCTTTTCATTTTCTTTTGTGTGTGTATGTGTTTGCTTACAATTATGAGCGTGGTGATGACAACATCACCAGCTTCTTCGTCACCGTCATCTCGCAGCGTGCATTGTCCTTCGTCTCAAGCAGTCGCACACTTGAAAAAGTGTATATTTTTTGCCAGTCTGTGCCAAAAGGGCCTTGAGCCGAGAAGTACGCTGCGTTGCAATAATAATTACAAATGTTACACAATAAATTGCAAAGCAAACAAACTTGACGTAAGCAGAGGCAGACACAGAAGCACTGGCAGTGGCAGTGGCAGTGGCAGAGTCAGTGGCAGCGCCAGCGCCAGCGCTAGCAGGAGCAACTGTGTCAGCAGCAGCGGCAAAATTACTTCCTGCTGAATCGTAAGCGGAAATGTACATACAAATGGCACTCACACACAAGCATTTGAACACATAGCACAATCGTGGTAACAGGATGTGTCTGACTGGAGCGGCCACCGACTTTCCCCAAACCGAGAGCGTGAGCACGAAAACGAATGGGGCCTGCCAATAGCAGAGTCACGGGCGCAGCTCCAGCGGGAATATTGCTCCGAGGAGTGGCATCTTGTCAAATAGAAAATCATAGAAATACGTAATTGTAGAGCAGCTACGCTACCAAAGGAGTCGCACTGTTGCTCTCTGCCAAGGCGGACGAAGGATGTGGCAGGATGTTTAAGGATGTGTGCCCAAAATGTTACTGCGCTTTGCATTCCTCCATTGGTTGGTTGTGGTGCAGCTTTTGTCGCCTCCACTCCCCTTTCATCTTTCGCATTCCGGAATGCAATAAATCTTGGACTGGAAAACAATGACAAATTTTCTCTACTCGTTATTCTCCCTTTGTCAGGACGTGTGGGTTCTTTCCGCTGTCATTTCCATGCCGGACAATGCATTTCATTTCCATTTATTGCTCTCCACCACCTGTCAACCATCCGCTTGTCTAAATGCACACTCGATTGAGAGTCTGTTGTTTCCTTAAGATCCTCAATTAAAAGCTAGAGACTTAGATATGGGAACAATCTCATTTACTATTTAAATTATAATTTATATTCTATAATTTCTATAATTTTTGAAGATCTCTGAAAGGATTCAGACACTTTATGAACTGAAAATATGTAGGCACATCCTACAAGTCCTCCTCAGTCCTTGTTGGCCGCTTCGTAGACCAAGTTCGGACTCTTAAAGGTAGCGATTATGTTCCTATACAAAAAATATCGTCTTAATAAGTTAATTACAATTAAATATTTAAGAATGTTTTACATTGCTTTTTAAAACCATTTAAAATGGCAAAAGTATTCTAAAAACGAGAAGGTGTGAGACGCTTCTTACGCGTCACAACTTATAAACACTGTACTCTGTGGTACTCCGTTTTTTTTTTCAAATTTTACATTTCACACTTTACATTTTTTCTACATATGTATGCCTAAAATATGTCTTAAATCTAACAAATATGATGAGAGAGTGAGAGCTCCGAAAATGCTTGTTTAGCTAAAAAAAAAAAATATTATGCTCTCTTCTAGGCTGTTCAGGTGTCTACCATGTAGATCCCAGAATTAGAGGGAAGTGGAATAAGTGGATTCATGGTGGAATCCTCGAGCCTGGGTCGGACCCCTCCGTCCGCCCAGCAGCAAATTCCGCAACAGAACTCGCCCTCGCCCTCTGGGTTGCGGTGCGGCAACATGGAGACTCGGGTTCGCGGGGCCTGGTATCGTGTCCTAGTCACACTTGAAACGGACTTCCTGGCAGTCAGCCTCGACGAGTCATGTGAGTCGGCGCAGCAAACGATTGATGGGCAGTCGACCACGCTGAATGGCACCTTGGGGTGAGTAGCGGGAGTAGTTTTCTCTAAAGTGGCTTCCTGGCACTATATCGGTCCTCTTTTATCAACATTTTTTCAGAAGTAATCACAGTGGTGGAGGGGGAGGACCTGTTGGTGGAGTAGGCTCTAGTCAGAATGGCACTGGAACCCTGCCCAGCTCCGCCTCTCTGCAAGGCATGAATATCCAAGACACCGAAGTAGATGGTTCAACCAACAACGACAATGGAGATCGGGATCTCTGCCTGAACAACAACAACAATGCCGGCGATGGGGGCGGCATGGATTTGTGCGACGTACCTGACCATGTGGCCAACCAGAAGCGCCATGTGCGAATCATCAAGTCGGACAATAACGGCCTGGGCATATCCATAAAGGGTGGGCGCGAGAACCGTATGCCCATCCTTATCTCGAAGATATTTCGGGGCATGGCCGCCGATCAGGCCAAAGGTCTCTACGTGGGCGATGCCATCCTGACCGTCAACGGAGAGGAGCTGCGCGACGCCACCCACGATGAGGCTGTGCGCGCCCTCAAGCGCTCTGGTCGCGTGGTAGATCTGGAAGGTAGGTGGAGCATACGTGTACGCTACAGATACATTTGTAACTTTTTTCGCCAGAATGTCAAATTGTTATTTGCTTAAAACATTTTGTTCACTCAGCGATGGGTGGGGGATGTGCTGGAGCCAAAGCTTAAAAAAATGTCATTGAGCGAGTCAAACTAACAAGTAAACTATGAGCGACAGCCACAGTGGGATGGAATGGAGCAATCAGTGATCAGTTTCTAAAAGAAAGAAAGATTATACAGTTATGAAAGCAGCCATATCTCAGTTATTCCACTCCTTAAGCAGCTATGGATTGTAAAAGAGTTTCTCCGATTGGAACTCCCGCAATATTCAACCTTAGTTCCGCAATAGTTTTTATGCGAAACGTTTTTTGTGATAAATGGCAGTCCCTGATGCTGGATAGATAATATTTCCCCAATGATTAATTGACCCAGAGATTGGCACTGTTTTTGTCCTGTTTTCGAAAGCATCCATCCCATGGTGGAGCAACGAACTGGAAGGCAGAAGAGAGGGCTTAAGCGCAAAGACATACGTGGGATTACTCAGCAAAAACATGCGAGCTACTGCCGCTTCTGATGCTGCCACTGCTGCCGTTGCAGCTGTGTACTGTTATAAATCCCCACCAGCAGCCAGCTCCCCCAGACTAAGTTATCCCCTCCTCCCATGTTGACTGTTAGCTGTTGACTGCCGTTAGTGGCGCTGGTTTGCTGGTTGGTTGGCTGGATGGTTGGCTGGTTGGCTGGTTGGCTGGTTGCTTGGCTGTTGCTCGGTTTGTTTGCCCCAGCCCGGCAATGAGTAATGAGAAAAGTTTTCTTTCCATTTGATCAAATGGCCCAAAAATACACAGTTGTTGGTGGAGAGTAGACAGCTGACACAGTTTGTGGCAGGCCAGGAGTGGCAGGGTGTGGACTCTAGGCACCTCGTCCACAACTCTTTGCGTAGCTGAGACAATTCAAAGAAAAATTGTCGAAAAATGTACAATGTACATATTACGTATGTACAAAAATAAAGACGGGAGAATACAATTAGACTTAACAAGGAAGAAAATATTTGATTGAATAGGTTTGAACGAATGGATTTTTAGCAAATTCCGCACATGAGTTATTAGCGTTGGTCTTAGCTCTTTTCTATATATAGTCCAAAGGTTTCAAAAATAAAACAGTTCGTAATTACAACACGTCTCAGTGACATAAGCAATCATAATCATTCAAAGTATGGAGTGTGAGCTCCTCCTCGTGGATAGGCGAGGGAGAGGCAGTGGACAATGTCTAATCAAAATGTGCAAGCAAAGGGAGCATCGCTTCCTGTTCAGAGCACAACACAATAAGCAATAGTAAGCATCAATTAGGCGATGCAAATGTCCTTGCACACACACGCGCGCACACACTTTCAAATGCACAGAGTAAGAGAGCAGCAGAAAAGCACAACAAACACATGTATGTACATGTGAACCTTCTTGTGGACGTAACCCACAATCCAAGCCATTTGGCATAAACAATGCAATGAAACAACTTCCTCCCCTCTCTGTCTCTTAATCGAAGGGGGGACCAAAAGCAAGAGCAGCTAATACCACACACATTTCTGGTGCACTTCTCCACCCCATCCACTTCTCTTTAATCTTCACTTAGGGACATCATACGCTTTGCTGTGCGGTTCTAATTGATATTTATATTTATTTCGTGTCTCAGTTCAAATTTGGAGTCTCATGCGAGTTCCTCCTAGATCCTCCTCAGGCGCTCGCTGCGAGTGCGTTGACGGGTCTGCTCAACAGCCAGGATAAGGCGACCGAACTGTGCGCCTCGGGATCCCAGGGGCAGCAGGATTAGGCGACCGCTGGCCAACTCGTTTACCAGCTCATCTTCCTCCTCCTGCTCGCCCACCAACTCCACCTGGGACTCTTCCGGATCCAACTCGTTCTCGGGCTCGCTCAGCTCAGGGGCTCCATAGGTGGAGGCGGGCTTGGCACTAGCCGGTGGGCCATAGGTGCCTGCTGGTGTGACCGCTCTGACTTCAACGTCTGTGGGTATTGACTCCGGCTCATTTTGCTGCGCCTGGCCCAGGGCAGGGACATCAGCAACAGGCTGCTGCCCATTACCAGCAACAGCGCCATCGGCATCGAAGTCCTCGACAGCCTCAAGTATGGGTGGCTGAAATTCCCGGGCCGGAGCCTGGGCCACCACCTCCACGGTGTCCTGCTGGTCGTCGGGAGCTGCATAGGTGTTGGCAGGCTTACGGAGGAAGACCTCCAGTTCCGCTTCAGTCTCCGTTTCCGCTTCCTGCTGCTCCATTTCGGTGGTGGTCTCAGCATTCTCCAGAGCTTCCACGGCACTGGGTGTGGTTAGGGGTTCCGCCTCCAGTTTGGGCTGCTCGCCGGGCAGGGCAAATGGGATTCTGGGACGAAAGCCTGCCGGTGGGTAGGGCGTTGAGGAGTACTCCACCTGGCGCTGACTTTTCAGACGCCTCTGGGGCATGGCTGAAACGGCGGCCAGAGCCATGGCTACGGCAAAGATCAGAATGGAAAGGCTCTTCATGTTTCTCGCTGGGCGATTGCTAACGGTTTGTGTCTGGCTGCTGTGGGTGCTCTCCTATTTATACATACGCATGCAATTATACATATGCCCCGTATCCATTTGCATGCCGTTTGCTTCATCCATGCCAATTCTACATCAGAATTCAGTAACGGTCGCAAGGTCGTCTTTGAGTTTCGAGTTCGAGTTCAGCTCGGTTATGAGAACTCGATACGAGCTCTGGCCCAGTGTCGATGCAGTGCACAGTGCGAATGCGAATCGGTATCGCATTGGGATGGGATGGGACAGACGGACGACAATTATTGGCCCATGAAGCTCAATGTTAATGTCGCTTTAATATCAACAGAGCCAACTTAACTTCACTTATCTCAGCCAGCCTAGCTCTGGCTTGGCCCTCCCCAAAACTCAAGTTATCGTTGTCAACGTGCCTCGCATGCCACGCAGCTGACGCACGCCAGAGTCAGAGTCATAGTCAGACTCTGTCTCGAAGTATTTGTTCCCTATAGAAAACAGTTTTATGAATTTCTTTGAATTGACTCAACAATTGGTTGAGATTAACAGAAATAAATAAATTCAGATGGACTTGGAACAATATTCAAATTTGAGCAAAATATTACATATATATTTTTGGCTTTGGGCTATTTCTATAAAGAAGCCAATCTTAATCTCAAATTCAAAAGTAAACCTATTTATGATGGCGCAAATTAAATCCACCAAATAGCCAATAGACTCCTCTTCAGTTTGTCGCAATAAAATTTGCCTTCATTGCCCGTTTTGTTGCCTGATCAGTATTTTGATTTTCGGGGTTTGGTTTGCGGTCTTTTCCATAATTTCAACTGTGTGTTCATTAAATTAAACTGGCCCAGATCTATAAACATACAATGTGGCGAAAGTGTACTCACACAACGGGACGTCATGCTTCCGTCGGCTTCGTTGACTAGGCCCAGCCCTAACCTGGCATAATCTCTTGATTCGAACTCCAATTTACAAGTTGGCCAAGTTGTTTGCCAAGTTCCGCTGGCCGCTGTGCTTCCAACTTTGGCCCAAAGTATTCTGCGCCCAGGCAGCCGTCTCACTGTAATTTAAATAAGCCAGGAACTGGCTAAAATGGGATTGCATGGCATGGGATGACTGGCTAAGTGGATTCCAGCTCCAACTGCCAAATGTCAGCGACAGACTTCGGCGTTGGCGACGACAGTTGGACTTACTCTCTTGCTGCCTGCTTACCAAAAAGTCCATTATCAATGGTTTTTACAACTTGGCGCACATTCGTGGACCCGCCCAACCACCAATCAGAGCTCCTCCACTCCACAGTCCACCCAAGTGGATCCTACTTAGCCAACCTGCCTCAGTCCTAGCCAAAGTCCCGCTCCAACTCTGTCCCTCCCGAGGAGCTCGTGAGATTTCACTCGCAAAACTTTTGCTCAAAGTTTGTTTTAACGCACGATTTACCGAATTCCGAACGCCGCCTGCTGTTGATATCATATTCCGACTGGGCACGCCCACTGCACGGCTTGCCATTTGATTTATGCTTTTTGGGGGAGAAATGGTGGATCTGTAGGATTTCGTTTAGTCACTAAAGGTGTAAAAAAGTTTTCGGCTTGTTTGCGGAAAATTAACTGCTTTCCAGAAATAAAGTGATCGTAAAGAGCTGGGTTTTGGGGAAGAACAAATGCCTGAAATGATTGAAAGTTGACTAAAATGGTCTAACAATGGATTTTTGCTCCTCAGATCCTTTCAATCGGTGGTCGGAATTAAGTCGTTCAAGTAAAATGTACAAACTGCCACAAAGTTGAAAATGTAATTCAAGGTGGTGAATAATTAAAAGAATATCACAATCACTTTTATATTCAGATAACTCAGCAATGCTTTTAGCTAATTTTGTTTGCTTTCCTTTTGTTCAACTTTCCTCAAGCATTTGTCTGAGCACTAAGCAAATCCTTGAGTAGAAAGTCTTCTAATGCCATATTTAATGGCAAAATGTGAGCGCAAAATATTCATACTTAAGCACCTAACAATTGTGGCCTGTGGCATTTTCAGCCAACTTTTCCATAACTTGTTTGTTTTACTAGTCTTGAATTGTTTTTAGGACACACACTCATAGTGGGCCGAGACGGGAGTGGAGCGAAGGGTTGGTGCAACTTTATTTACACTTAAATGCAAAAATGTACACAACTTATTACAGTTGTTGCTGTTTCTGTTATAAACTTTTTCCCAGTTGCAATTGCGTTTCTCGTTCGGTCCTGTTTGCTCTTCAGTCCACGCCGAAATATCCGACGACCCACTGTCCATCCTCTCTAGCTACCTACCTCTCCGTACTCCGTCTTCCCCTTTTCAAAGCAGCGGACTTGCGCCTGCCGCTATGCAACATTTTTCCACTGTTTGTTTGTCGTTGGCTGCATATTTGTGAACGTAAATGTTTGCAGAGCTACACCAGAGACTGCTACGGCGGCTTCCACTCTTAACCCTTTAGTGTACGTAAATGCCAAGCAATTAGCAAGTTGGTGGTCCTGATACCATCCCCATCCCCATCCCCATCCCCATTCCAAACCCAAACCCAAACCCCATCTCGTTGCGGGGCCGTCCGCTCTAATTAGTTGAGCCAAACACACGAATCGAGTCGAACTAACCGCCGCCGCTGTTGCTGATTCTGATGCTATCGCCGCCCACCGGTGTGCTGGGGGCTGGGCGGGCCGATGGCATTAAGTGTGAAAATTGAATTTCCAAATCACTCGACGACATCGTCGGGCAACAGCAAACGGAAATTGTGCAAATGCTGTGGGTGGAATGCCGAGTGGGGGCCAGCGGGAGCTGGCCGGGCGGGCCGGGCTGCCGTTCCCCAGTTAGATATGCGACTACGACAGTTTACCTATTCCCGTGCACAGGTACAGACACAGTCACAAGCAAAGCAGCTAGCATCGTCATCAGCATTTGCATAGAAGCTGCACACTGGGGCACATATATTTTAGAGTAAAAAACAAACGATGAGGAATGAGAGACGCTTCGTAGGCGCTACAACGTTTATACCCGGTACTCAGTCAGAATATATATATGTATTTACATTCATATGTCCATATGTCCATATGTAACGTTAGTGTTTTTAGTTTTCTCCTATTTTCAAAATTGTGTATGTGAGAGACTGGATGCAGTCTGGACGCAAAACTTGGAGGATCTATCTCTTATGGTCTCTAAGAACTAGGCGCTCATCAGGACTGACAGCCGGACAGACGGACGGACAGATAGGCATAGCTTTACTGATTCAGAATATAAATACTTGTTATGGTCGGAAACACAAACACAATATATGTAAACCGGGCATAATGACGCTCAGACCAGTGTGCAGGGAATTTTTCCGGCTGTCGTGAGGCTTTGGGTGTGCAAATCGAATAAAAATGGAGCGGAAACTCTAATGAATTTATGCCGCAACGTTTGCCAAGACTTCTACACTCACAGCGCTAACGAGAACGACAACGAGCACGAAAGAGTCAGACTCCTCTCTGTCTGATTGCAGGTGCTGTTTTTGTATGTCTCTGGGAGTCTTTCTTGCTGACGACACCACACTTCCTTTCCTGTGGCCTCATCCATATTCATGTGACTTCCATATCATTCGATTCCCGGTATCAAGTTTCTCTACATGTTTGCCTCTGTGTGGTATTTTGCCAGTTAAATTCCTACGCGAAGTAACGCCTTACTTTCGGAAGGCGAGCATCATCTCGGAAGTCGGATGGGAGCTGCAGCGCGCCTTCCTCTGCCCGCTGGGACCGGGCGTGCCCACCTCTCCGCCAGCGCCAAAGACAACGCCGCGCGCGGACACGCGCTACATCCCCCTACAGCTGACGCATCTGGCCAGGAATCTCAAGTACATCGATCCGGGTAAGTCCCTCCAACGGGAACAGCTCATGCAGCACCTGCCTTTTTTTTTCATCTCCTCCCTCCAGAGAACCGCTGCTTCGAGCTGCACTCGCCGGACGGAGTGCACTCCTGCATCCTGCGTGCGGCCGACTCTGCTGAGGCTCTGGTCTGGTTCAATGCTCTGCATTCGGCCATGGGCAGCAGCACGCAACGGGCCCTGGCGGAGGCCAATCGCGCGCTGACCAATCTCATCGGCGAGCTGAAGCACATCGGCTGGCTGAGCAAGCGCCTGAACGGAGGCAGCTCGGGCAGTGCCGGGGGCGGCGGAGGAAGTGGCAGTGGTGCAGCCAGCGGCGGAAGCGGTACCTCCAACAGCGGAGTTGCCGGCGAGCTGGTAAGTGTGGTCTCATCCAAATACCGTATACCCATTTCTGGCTACCTTTTTGAGGCCAACATAGCAGCCCCACCTGCTGCCCTGAAGGTTTACCGAGAGTTGTACGTGCACCTCACCCCTTAAGCCCTCTCCTTTCCAAAGTGGCTATCAGTTGCTTGGTATTTCGCCTGAAGGATATGCCAAGTGATACATTCATGAATATCCGATCATGGATTATCCGATTTACAGTTCGGTAGATATTCTGGATGATTTTTAAAATATAAACATCGTTCACAGCCCAGCGGTCGATCCAGCTCTGAGAGTTCGGATGAGAGTGACAAGTGGATGCCCATATTTGTGGCCGTGACGGAGCGAGAGTTTCGGATATACGAGAGTGCCCCATGGTCCGTGGAGGCTTGGAGTCGGCCCCTCGAGATCTATGCCTTGGCCACAACGCGTCTCGCCGGAGCCGGGAACAATTCCTCGCTGAATGTAAGTGCAGCCTTCTCATTCCATGCAATTTATGGAAATCGTAAAATTCACTTTTCAGGGCCAACAGACCACGGTGTTTTGTGTACGCTGCGGCACTGCTAGGGGAGTCCTCGTTTACTGGCTGCGATCGGAGACGCATCGCGACATGGCAGCCTGGGCCCGGGCCTTGGTGCAGGGCTCCCACCAGGCGGTAAACTATCAGAGGGAGTTCTCCTTCCACTGCCTCTATCAGGGCCGACAGTGTCAATTGGTTGTGCATATCAATCGTGGCTTTTTTCTCTACGATTGTGGTGGCTTCGCCCCCACCACGCCAACGGCGGTGGTGGCCGCCACCAAAACGCAGCTCTGGCAGTTTGCCTTCGACAAGCTAAAGGGTTCGGCAGATGATGGCACGCGGTTGCTGTATCTGGACTTTGGTGATGATGGAGAGATTGTAAGTCATCTCAAATCGTTTTCCCATCAACTAGATACTAATTTTTTGTTTTCTCCCTGCAGGAACTGGACATGGAGTGTTGCCCCAAGCCGGTTGTCTTTGTCGTGCATAATTGCCTGTCTGCCAAGGTTCATAATATTGCCTAGATTGCGTTACAATTGGATAGATCTATGATATAAATGTTGACGTTTTAGGTGTAATGGAACTTTGTTACAAGTCCAGTTCTTTGTACTTTTTACGATTCTCTAAGGACCTACTGAATTTTGTATACCCGGTACTCGAAAGCCATAGAAGGAAACATTTCCGACCCTTTAAACTATTTATATTCTTGATCAGCATTAATTGCCAAGTCGATATAGCTGTCCGTCGGTCCGTCTTGATGAACGTCTAGTGCTTCGAGGCTATAAGAGCAACAGCAACAAAATCCTGCATCCACACTGCTTCGATATCACACTGTTGCCAGTGTTTCTCCGCTTCTCCACCCCGATATTAAACGATAATCTGTAATTGTTTCTATTATTAATGTTCAAGATACGAGAAATCCAAAAACCCAGTTCCGTAGAGGGGGGCCCAATCTAGCAGATCCCTTAATTAGGCCAGAATAACGAAATTTATTTGCAGTTTCTTCCAGTCAGCCCCTCCTGCTCATTCGCTCTCTCACTCGCACACTCTGACTCGGGCAGAGAGCGTCTCTGGAGCGGGAGAGCTAAAAAGGGGGTGTTAGTTGGAGAGTTAATGTAGATGTAGAAAAGATCATGAGGTTGCATACATATGTACTAATGTATACACTGAGTACCGGGTATACGAATTTTGACGAGACCGAGCGCGTCTCACAACGATCCTCCTCGTTTTAAAATCGATTCGTATTTTGTGAGCCTATTGGAATATTTTGATAGATCTGTCAATTACCTAAGAATAGGAAGAATAGAGTTGGAAAGGATAATTATTATTAGTTCTTTTGCAGAAACTATTTACGTAAATGTTTTACAAAATGTCTTTCAAAATGTAACGTCTATTATGCCTAAAATAGAAACTCTTATGGAAACCATAGAGCCCTTCCAGCCAACGACTTAGTTAATTTAGTAGAGAAAAGGAAAGACAAAGCTAGCTCGTTAGTTTCCTTGTGGCTATGGGAGTGGACTAGTTTGGTAGATACAGCAGGAAAACAGAGTATGAAGAAACCAATGCAAACACCGATTAGCAGAAACCGAGGAGGGGAACAGAAAACCCTAAGAGCATAACTGAAAAACTTTATTTAAATTGTAAGTAGACGTAAATTCATTTTATACGCGTGTCATATGCACAGGATAACATCTAAATAAATATCGAAAAGAATGAAAGATAAAGCTAAATCTAATCTATCTACATTAACAACATTTGCATTAACGTTGAACAATAATTATTGTAATTGTACTTAATTAATTGTATCTTGTATTTGTACCATGTATCTTGTATCTAAACGAAGCACACATATCTCGATGCCCCTACACAGAGGCATCGATATTGATCATGGACTAAACTCCCCAACTAAACTACACAAATATGTATGTATATCTGTATACCAGTCGTGTAGGAACCCATACATGCATATAGGTATAAACATTCAAACGAGTATGTGCATTCCAGGCCATTTCTCTACTCCCCGAATCTTCATGTACAAGCCATCTATCATATTCAATTATTATACATTTATATATATACATACAAACATACATAGTACATACGAGTATCGGTAACGTAACATGCCCCATAATCATTTAATGAAAATTGAAATTTCGTAATAAACACAACCACAACAACAACCAAGAGAAGACGAACGACAGAAATCAATAAGAACAAAATACCCAAACCAAAAAATAATACGTAAATTATTTTAAACGTAAGTAGTGTTGAATCTTCGATAATAAACCTCTATAAACAATACACAAATTATGTAAAAGTATGTTTTTGTCATCCAATTAATGGGGAATGCTGGTTCCATCAGAGGACTAGTGTGTTTTATTATCCAGTTGAACTATGGTAAAAGAAAGCCAATTGCCAAATTGTTTGTCTAACGAGAAGGGACGTGTGTGACTCTTTTTATGCGTCACAACTTTTATAACCCGGCACTCAGTACTACATCTGCACCTTAGCGGTGTTTTGTCAAATTTTAAATTTTTTCTTCATCTGTCATCTACATCTACAGCACTTCTCACACCAACAAGCTCCTTTAGCTCGCCCCCCTAGCCCTGAACACTGCAGACTGGTGATCTGATGGCTATGGTCCTTCCCTACGCAATGGCGTTTTTAGTTTTCTTTTATCTTTAAAATCGTAGATTTGGGAGGTTTTCGCCCTTTTTCGTGGACGGAAGGGGGCGGGGCTCATTTTTGAAATACACTTGTAACAGTGTGAGCATACAGAAGTCTGGATGCACAATTTGGTGACGGACAGACGGACGGACAGACAGACATGGCTCTATCGACTAGGCTATTAATGATGATCAAGAATATATATACTTTATGGGGTCGGAAACGTTTCCTTCTGTGGGAGTACCGGGTATAATAATCATGATTATAAATCGGCCTGTGGTCCCTGTTCCGGTAATCCGAACCATCCGCCTTAGTGGAACTGTGGATTGAGTTGTGTTAGAAAAAAAGACAGTTCCCAAAACTTTAAAGTTCTAAGCGAAAACCCATCGAGCTGCGTTACCGAAATGCAACCACAAGAATACATCAAACGGCAAACATACGAAACTTTCTTGAATATGTACCGAAGGTCTTTTGACTTTGAGGCAATCAATGAACTTTTGCCAGCCTGTTGCTGCCCTCGGAAAACACATTTATTTCCTGCATATGAATTTATTTTCAATTTTATCATTTCCCATTTAAGACGAAAACAAAGTCACCCACGAACGTGACCAGCATGTCCAGCAGCTGGCACGGCACGGTCAAGCCACTATCTTTGCTCATCGCAAAATTAAGCCGACAAACTACACACATTCATCTTCCAGATACACACACCACAACATACTCTTAAATACATAGTATGTATGTATACATACATATACACACAGAAGCTAGCAAGTAAGGGGGAAAATGTAAAGTGACTTTTTTGGGTTGTGTTGGCTCTTTGACCATCGTTGCGGTCAATGGGTGGGTGCCCAGGCCGGGTTTGAGGTGTAACGACCTAGGCCCGGGACGTTTCTGGCTTCCTTCAATGCCACAGAATACACTCCGAAACACAAATGGAACCTACTGGTAGAATTACATTTCCGGCTGTTGGAAGCTTGCGGAAGTTTCGCGTCAAATTAAATGCTCAGGGTTAGAATTATGACAGCTCCAGAAATGGGGAATGACTCTGGATCCCAGTACGAGTATAAATACGCCTGGCTGGAAATTATCGCCATCAAATCGTAAGCAAATTGTGCAGCGAACATGTCAAAAGGACTGGGAATGTGTGCCACAGTAGCGCTTTGCCTGTCTCTGGTCCAGGCAGCTGTTATACCACGTCCTGAGCATAAGCCCGGGTCCACGCCCGAGCAAGATACTACCAACAGACCGAGTCTGGAAGAAGATGTGACCACCGAAGAGGCAACTACGTTGGCCAGTCCCGCTTTTAGTCGCGATGAGGCTGCTAGCATATTGATTGACCCGGCCCCAGGAACCCTTCAGGTGGATGTTCTACCCCAAAAGAAGTCCGCAAAACTGCTCCTGTTGAGCACCCCATCCAGGCGAACCGTGGAGATTGAACGTCAGCTGGAGGAGCAGGACGTGGGAGAGGACAGCAGGGCGGACGTAGAGGAAAGCGAGGCAGCCTCCGCCTCCGCCTCTGCCTCCGGCTCCGCCACCACGCCACAGCCCACCGCAGAAGAGCAGACCACAGACAGCCAGGATAGTCCCACCACAGAGGGCAGAGAGTCGGAGGAAACCACAACTCCAACCACAACAAAACTGTTTGCCATTGAGGGCACAGTCGCTGGCGGGAACGCGCTCCAGCCCAATGTAGCCCTATCCCTGGCTAAGGACTCTACCAAATCCACAGTTTCAATTGCCGAGCAGCCGCAGGTGGCCGGCGACAACAATGCAGCCGTAGAGCTGCCCCTCGTAGAGCCGGAGGCAGAGTACGTGCTGGTTGAGGGACACCAGGATGAGCTGGACCTTCAGCTGGCGAGCTTCACGCACATTGACAGCGATGTGCACTTGCAGCCGGTGGTGCATTCTGTGGAAATCGTGCCCACCAGCTTCGATGATCCTTTGATTGTCAATTACGTGCACAGTTTGCGATGACTCTGACTGGTAGTATAAACGGGAATGGAGTTCAAATCAATCAGAAAGCTCTGGGTTCATTTTTGATTATGTTAAAGTTGATGTTTGCTTATTGTTAAAGTTTTTATGGGTTTATAAAAACACTTTCCCAGTAGTGAAGGAGTTAAACTATACAATTTTGAAAAATATGTTAATATTATTATTTTATTCTTTTATTTAACCCAAAGAACAAACCATTTATGGACGAGCTTCCTCACAGTAGTTCTACGTTGATTCTCATTTATATACAAAATCTATTACAATATTTTATGCATAGACGCAACTAAAATACCTTTTTGAACAAGTTCAAGCTCAAAATACATAATACAAGTGCAAAGGTCTCAATTTTACTCTCGTCCCTCCACTTACACCTCCAAGTAAAGCACTCGAATCCACGTTATTCAATTTGAATGCTCCAAAGGGGAGATGGTGAGGAGTAACAGGGGACATGGCGACGTGGCTGCTGCAAAGTCGCCCATGTCCTTCCGCATGCCACGCACGTTCCACGGCTAAAACTTTGCACATCCGCACGTCAAATTTAATACGGATGCGTTGAGTTAGAGTCTCGCCCAAACCCACCGACCTGATCCAGCGTATTTCGACGGAGAGCTGTTTGGCCGTTGACTCGCAAGGCAACTGAATCGAACAACAAAATTTAACAAAACATTCAATGTCGTTACACAAACAATACTCAGAACGTGTCCGAACATTCGGTGAAGATGGCATTGATAAAGACTGATTATGATATCATTTAAATGCTCGTTCTCGTACTTACATCTACATAGTTTGCATGTACATATATAGACAATGTCAGCAGTTTTGTAGTATGTTATGTCCTAGAGCTGGGAATTGGCTAAGGAATGGTTATTGATTTTTTGAATGCAGCCTTAGAGGAAACTCATTTCTTTAGGGTATAAATAACAGTAAACATGATTTTATTCATTCCAAATACAAAAACCTATAAATACTGAACTTTTAACAATTAAAGAGGGCTTATCCCAGAGGGACTCTCACCAGCGTTGCTCCACATCCGTAGTGTAAACGAATCTACGTCTCGGCGCCTGCAATAGTGGCTGGGAGCGCAGGGGAATAGCCACTGGAATGGAGGGCGGAGGCTTGGGAGCTCTGGCCACCAGCACTGCTGGTCCCAGATTTGCCGTAATCACCACACTCTCTGAATCCGGCTCGTCCATGGAGCCAGGCTCTGGGGTGGGCATCAGGGGATTGGTGCTTACTCCGCAAACGGGATGATCGGCATTGCCGTCGGTGGAGTTGCTGGCCAGGGACTCCGCGGGCTGCTGCTGCTGCTGCTCCTGATTCTCCTCAGTGGGCAAGCGAAAGGCGCGGCTTGGACGATAGCCAGCTGGTGGATAGGAGGCCCTGACAAAGGCTTTGCCCGAACGGAGATTATTAACCAGAATGGGAGCTGTGGTGGTGGTATCTGGCGAGTCCCAGATTGTGGTGGTGCTCCAGTCTGCGGACTCTGTAGTACTAGCCGAAGCATCCTCATTGGGCAGCTGCATTGTGGTTGTCTCCGCACCCAAGCCGGATCCTTCGCTTTGATCTGAGTCGGCCTTCCCCTCCGACTCCCCTGGAAGCCGAAAGGAACGTCCCTGCGGCCGAAAGCCTGCTGCTGGATAAGGCGTTGGCATCAACTCTCTCACCCTGTCCGCCGCCTCATCCTCCTGCACACTGACCGCATAGCGATTAATTCGTATCTGACGCGCCTCGATACGACTTCCGGCTGCAAGGCAAACAACGAGGGTGAGGAGCCACTGCATGCTGACAATTGAACTCGGTCTCGGATTTAGACCCAACTGAATTGAGCTCCGACTGGAGGTGCCGTTTTTATACAACGTTCTCGGTGGCTGGCTGTCTAAGGTCTCCCATGAAAACGAGAGTCGTCCCGGGTAATGGGAATTTAGGCATGAAGCTTCTATATCGACAGCGACTTCGATTAGGCGCACGGCTATCACATTTAATGATTTATTTTGTATGGTTACTGCCTCTGGCTTTTGCTCGGTCTGCCACGTCCACCGCCCACTGCCCACTGACCACTGCCGCTGTACACGTCCACTGTCCACTACCGATTTGTCGCCATGTTCTATGAAAATTAAATGCGTTTCGTACGTGACACGCAATCCAAATGTCATCCAACGCTCAGCAACTGAAAGCGAAAACCAACCGCAAATAGAGCCGCTGTCGACTGTCGACTGTTGTTGTCAATTGCATTATGCTGGAATTGTCAGTTTGAGTGTTAGACTTTTGGATTAAACACTTATAATCGATTTTTATGCGATTGACGACTTCCAGCTGAGGTGACCGCCAAGGCCATGCGAACTATCAAATGGTAATATAAAGGATAACCCAGACATAACCTTTTCATTTTCTATTAATAATTATTAATAATTGAATTCAGATTCGATACAAATTGAGTGTATAGCTTAACACAGCTGTTCACAATTAGAAGAAGTCTGCTGCAGCCGAATTGGCGGCACAACTTGTCAAAGATTCATGGCAAGCTGAGTTATTTAATATAGTCAGTGTAGGAGATTTATGACTGATAAATTAATGCCACCTTCTCTCTCACATTAAGAGCACTTTAAGGCCAAACGAAGTCGGTTCAAAGTAGAACAGGGACTGGTTCGGATTCGCTCCAAATTTAGACTGAGTAATGTTGGAACTATAAATTCTACTATCAGTACTGATTCGGCTCCTGCTACTTCTTTCTTGTCACGTCGTTAGCGCATAAAGACGCCGCAGATACCGATACCGACATCGACATCGACATCGATGGCGATCAGGGAACTGCGAACAGTGCCGACGTCAGAGCGTAGGCCCAAAAAAGGATGCCTATGCTGGGTCCATGCGTAGCACACTAAACAGCTGCACACATTGGTGGAATGTCCATTAGTGTCCAGACATGGTCCTACCTATAAAAGCGTCCATCGCAGCTGACCAAAGCATCAGTCGTTGGTTCAATTCCTTCCAGGCAGACACACACGCAGCACTCAGACATCTTGCATCCATCATGGCCAAGTTCCAAGTTATCCTCCTTTTGATCGCCATCGCCCTCAGCCTGCTGTCCCTGACCGAAGCTCAGCGTCAGCGATACTCCCAGCGGCTGAGTCGCGGGCGATCCCGGTACTCGGCTCGCCAGGAGCTGGCCCCAGTGGATGCTGGGGACGTGGATGCTGTCACCCCGTATCCCTCCGCTGACGAACTTAAGCCTGAGGTGCCCTTCGATGAGGCGGCCGCTCCAGCCGCTGTAGATCCTACACCAGATGCCGTCTATGGCCCCCCCGACGCCGCTCCCAACAGTGTGCCCGATGAGGTGTACGGTCCACCCGATGTCACCGGCAACGATCTTCCCGCTGCCGACATTCCTGCCGAGCAACAAGCTCGCCTCGTGGCCGCCAGGCGCGCGGTCAACTATCGCCGAGCCGGACAAGCTGTGGCATATCGTCGCGCTGTCTCCGCTGCGGCACGTCCGGCCAAGCTCAGTTCTGCCCGCTCCATTGTGAGACGTTTCTAGATGTGGTCTATCCAAACCCTCATTTGCATACGAGCTGCCTGGGCTGGGCAGTCGTTCAGGCAGATGTTATTCCCGGTACATTCCCAAAACCCATGACGATCCAGCTATCCAGCAATCCACGATGATACACAGCACACACACACACCCATACCATTACCATATAGAGTTACTGTCTCTCTCTCTACACACACTGATCAATTGCTCTCTCGATTGTAAGACAAAAGCAAATAATATATGTTTGTGGAAACAAAGCCGAAAGGTTTCTCTCTCTATTTTTATCTCTATCTCTGACCAGCAGACATTCGAGTGAATCATTCCGCGAGAAACTCTGTGACAGAGCGGAAGTTTGCTAGACGCTCCCAAAACAAAATTGTTTGGTGAAGGTGGGTGGTAACCGGTTTCAGGACGCACCGCACGCGTCACACTGTGGACGATGATGACGAGCCACACCGCAAAAATAATTGTAGCACTTTGGGAATAGCCCGACCACAAATAAAAACAAGAAAGTTTAGTATCTTTACGAGTACAACGAATTGGAATACGAATACACTAGCACAGGTGGATAGGAGAAGAGATCATCATTTGGCTAGTGTTGTTGCTGCAAATTTACCACTTTCAAGGAAAGTATTTTCTTAAGCTTTAAACAAAAATCCATGAACTGTCACGAAACAAGGGAGCAGTTCGGCTCATCCCATCATCCTTAATTGTATAATTTGGTTTATAAAGTAAATGCGATGCATGCATCATAATATTTCCCACAGAGAGCGAGGGATAGGGGAATCCATTACAGTCGACTGATAACCCAGTGCTCACAGACCGAACTTGAACTCGCTTAACAGCTTTTACATATGTATGTTTGTATGTATGTACGTATGTATACATGCTCAAATGTGCACATGTATGTCTGAGTCAGTTCAGCAGAGTTAAGACAGAGATTGAGACTGAAACGGCACAGAGATGCTGATTATTTAAGTCACCTCCCAGGCGGCTGATTTTCAGTTGCCGGAGCATTGGAGCCAAGTGAAGATCGCGGAAAGCAACCCGATACCGAGAAAGTTTGAGAGACGAAAAGTGAAATTGACATTGCCTTTACAAAAATGATGAAGTGGATTTGTGTTGTGATGATCGCGGCTCTAGTAGAAGTGGCCCAGGCCCAACGACCTGCCTTTGCTGGCATGCGTCCGCCGGGTGGACTCAGCCAGAAGGACAAATACCATGCCACGCAGAACACGGCCGTAGAGAACATCACCGGAGTGGATATAGTTACCCGATTCGGCGAACCCTCGCCCTCCCAGCAGACGCCCATCATCAATTTGCCCCATGGTGCGGCCCAAAGACCTCCCAGTGGAGTCCCCCTAGTACTGCCCATCAGTGCCTACGTTCCCGATCCGCAGCCACCACGTCCAGCCGTCCCAACCGTGGTCAATCGTTTTGGTGGAGCGGATGCCAGCTCACCTGTTCCAACCTTCACTGGCAGCACAACTACTGTTCCCACTGCTGGGACGCCCATCTTCACTGGCAGTTCCCCCGTTCCAGCAGCTAGTTCTTCGATTCCAGCAGTCAATCCTTCCGTCTTAGGTCTGCCAATTGATGCCCATGGCGACCAGGAGTATGTTAATCACCTGAGTAGCCTGCCCCTGGAGAACCAGCCATTCTGGTTCATCAACTATCAGGCCATTGAGGCGTTGAGGAATAGCTCCAGGCCAAATGTGGGAGCTCTGGAGACGCGGGGATCTTTCTTTGGTGGCTAAAAACTAGAATATTTTCGCTTAGTTTAAATACGAACGAGTGTGTGTCTATATGTATGAAATTGAATGTATAATTATTTATTTATTAGTATAAAAAGTTACTTTATTTTTGGAAGTCTCAACGAATGTATTTGAAATGATTTGATGGGGGTTTTTCAAGATAACCTTTGACTGCGGAGAACACACTCAAATTGTTTGGTTTGAGAACATTTCAGCCGGTCTCTTTGAATTTAAGATGGCAACTTGACTAATGGTTGCCTCGAGACACGTTCCGGCAGCTGAGTGAGAATTGTCCTGATAAATAATGTGTTATGTACATATGTACATATTTACATAGATGTGTTTCAATTTGGCATGTGAAACAGTGAAACAGTAACAGTAAATTGAGAGTATCATCCTCGCTCAACAGATGGCTCAGTCTTACCATTTCTAGTCAATTATCCATTAAAGGTAAATACCACATGCTCCGCTCAACAGCGCTTCACGACAAAATGGCATACATACTCGTATACCCACTCATCGTTGCCCTGTGCTCGTGATTGAACTCTTATGGGGCTTAAAACGGGTAAAGTATGAAACATGCATTGAACAGAGAAGTGCAGAAGCAGGGGATGTGTGCGTATTAAAAGAAACCCCACAATCGCTTAAAGAGCAACTAGAAATGGAGCATTTCAAAGGAGAAGCTATCAGGAGCAGCCAGGATCTGAAGTGGAAGGTAAGGGTGAGCTATTGTTAAGCGAAAAGATGTTGCGGTAAGCGGAAAAGCCTTTGCTCACAGTTATTCTGTGTGGAAAATGGAAAACATTGTGCGGGGAAACTATACAATACAGACATCGATGAGCCTATTAGTTCTCCATTTAAGTTGCCACTAAGATCATACTCATATCATTGCATTCCAAACAATTTATATATTTCTAATAACAGCAAATAATATCACAAATTTTACCATGCAAATTGCTGCGGAGCTGCGCTGTACGCAAGAACATAGGGTTGATGCTGAGCTCCGAAATAGTAGAGTTGCTGTGTAGCCAGTGCCGGAACGGTGGCAACAGCCTCCTGACCGGGCAACTCCTCGAGGCGGGCCGTGCGTTGCCCCTGACGATGGCGTTTGGCGGGGGCCACCTGGAGCTTGGCCAATCTCTGGCGGCTTCGAAGGCGGGCAGGAGTTGAAGAAACCGTTTGGGTGGTAACCTCCAAGGAGCTCTCCTCAGTGTCTACGTCCTCGGACTCGGGGTTCGCCTCAAAGTCATCCACTCGAGGCGGCTGCTCCTCTGGCAAGGCATTCGCATTCACGTTCAGATCAACATCAGAGTCCTGGGGTGCACCATAGGTGAGGGCAGGCTCTTGTGGAGACGGTTTAAGATCAGCCGCTGCGGGGTATGGAGTGGGCACCACCTTCTGTCTGCCGAATGGCAACTGTGCTCCAAAACTGACGGCCAAGAAGGCCAGGAGAAGGAGCGATCCAAAGAGCTGAGAGCGTGCCATGATCGTGTGAGTTGCTGCGACGCTTTGTTGCCGATCGTATATGGAGCTTTAACTTTTATAGTTGGATCACTGTGGCCCCGTCCCAGGTGATTCTAGACCAACCCCACAACGCGCTGCATATCAAGCAGACGGCAACTATTTGAAAACTAAGCAGGCGCCGCAGCTGACAGTAGAGCCGAAAGGGGAAATGTTTGGTATTCAAAAATCGATGCCGAAAATTCAATGGAAACTCTGATCAAAAATTGAGCCCACTGGTAGTCTTTTGCCGCTGTTGGGCCATGATAAAAGTCAACAATTAAGTGGCCAGTAATGCTTAATGGCCAATTGTTATGGCTAAGACATGGGCCCTTGACTAAATATTGTCACGTCGGTGTGTCCCTCAATGTGCCAAATATGAGTGCCGAAAAAATAAAGTTTGATGTATAAAAACCCCTCGGATCCGACGGACTGACAACATTCTAAGACCAATCGATAGCAGCTCAACATGGCCCACAAGTTTACTTGCTCGCTGCTCCTGCTCGCCGCTGTTGCCTCTGTGGCTCTGGCGGAGCCAGCCACATTCCGCAGTCGCTCGTCCCGGTTCCGACTGGCTCGACAGGAGGAGGCACCGCAGGACTCAGCGGATCCCTCTATTGACGTTGCCCCGACGCCAGCCTCGGCGCCCTATCCACCAGCGGGTGTCACTCCCGAGGTGCCCTTCGACCTGCCCACGGAGACAGAGGCGCAGCCAGATCTGACATATGGCCCGCCCGCTGAGCCGGACAACACGTACGGACCCCCTGCCGAGCCGGACAACACCTATGGGCCTCCTGCTGACGCTGCTCCAGCGGATCAGGACCAATTAGATGATTCCTTAGCTGCCGAGCCCATTCCTGCCAGTCTGATCCAGCCACGCAACGGTCGCCTTCGCAGTCTCCGTCCAGTGCAGGAGAAGCTCCGTTCCGCCCAGATCATACGCTCCAGACCAGTTCTGGTGTATACCATCTGAGTCAAGGGAAATTGTTACTTCATCCGATTCGAACCAAATGGAAACATTAGGATTACATATTAGGATTTTTTGTTGAATAATAAATAACCATGTAATTGTTGAATATTTTAAAAAATATCTATACTGTTTGTAACAATATTTATTTGGGTTTATTACACTTTAAACATCCAACTGGAAGCTAGTGATAAAGATTATAATGAGATTAGTAATGGATGCCAGCAAGAAAAGGAGAAGAAAAGAAAAATGTAGAGTGAGTTACCCATAAATCAGTTGAACATTTATTTACATGTATAAATGTGGGCCCAATTTTCAGTATCGCCACGTATCGTACAAAGTGAAAATTATTTATACAACTTCCAATCAAATAACCTACTGTTAAGTTTCATTATAATGACCTAAAACAATTTTCGAATTTTCTATTTTTATAGCCGGTACTCGAAGAGTAATTAGGGCCTATTGTTGTTTTGTGCGGAAAAAATTTAACAAATTTTAAGGAAGTGTTTCCGACCTCACAAAGTACACAGGTTCGTTGAGCGTCTGGATCTCAGAGACTATAAAAACTAGAGCCACCAAATGTTGCATTTAGATGGCTGTATGCTCACACTGTTACAAGCGTATTTAAAAAATGAGCGTAAAAAGCGTCTCACACGTCCCTTCTCGTCTAATATGCTTTCTGGGTTACATTTATTAAATGTAAACTAATTTAGCCAATTGACATATGATGTCAGCATTTGAGAACTTAGGTGTCTTCTATTTGCACGTGAGAGAGCTGAGCAGTTCCGGATGAGATGTTTCGAGGCTTCGATGGCTCTGGATAAATTTCGCTGTCACTATCTTTTATTATTTATTACAATTAAATAGGAATTTAAATTATTAAATCATATATGTATGTATGTACGCTCTTCATTGCCATAAAAGTATACAATAGAATCCAAGGTACCGATTTAGTACTGAAATAAATGTATCCGCAAAACACAATTAATTTAAAAGTAAACGTACTATAGTGAACATTGTCTTAACACTTCCTTCCAAATTTGTATTTTCGGAGGTATCGATATAAAATATGAATATTTAGATATTCGTCATTGTACTCGCACTCGAATATGCATTAGGCCATGGTTGATACGTGCCCATTTTGATCCATTCTGGTTGGGTAATATTCATAGTAGATATCAATTCATATAGACACATAGCACATACAATTAAATTATGAATGGCCAAGAACCCAGAGACAACAAAAACAAACAATTTGATAGCGACCCCCAGACCCCAGTTAGTGTTAATGAGATTTAAAGTGTGAGCATGAGGCAGGGGACCGTACCATAGCATTGGGAATTTCAATTTTGGAAAAGGGTCACGTTTCGAGCATTAAGGCAGAAATCACATCGGCGTCGATCGTAGCAACATAATCCATGCTCTGCAGGGACCGGGAACCTAGCAGAGAATCCAGAGGCCTACAAATCGACAGTGACTAGCATAAATTATTTCAGAACTCGACCGGGGAACCTACGGGAACTATAAATAAGCCCAGTCCATAGTTGAAGTCAGAACACAAGTTAATCAGCAATCGAAATGATCAAAGCCTGCTCCAACACCACCGTCATTCTTATCTTGAGCCTAATGGCTCTGGGAACAGCTGAGCCACTGCGTCGGAGATTCTCAGCTCGACAAGTTCAGACTCCGGCTAGTCCAACTCCTACAGGGTATCCAGAGGCGGGCGTTACACCCGAAGTTCCCTTCGATCTTCCCAGCTCTACCACAGAACCTGAGTTGACTTATCTGCCTCCAGATAACACCTACGGTCCTCCGGATAATACATACGGAGCTCCGGATACTGCCTATGGACCTCCTGGAAGTACAGATGTGGAGCCTCAACAGGACGTGCTGCCCGAAGATCAGCCAGAGAATCCCATCGAAACCGATGACATTCCTCCTGTCGAAGATGAGGCTGTGGGCGATGCCAAGAAGCAGCCAGCAGAGGATGAAGAGGAGCTCCTGGTTCAAGTGTCGGATGATGGCACTGTCATTGCCGTTTCCTCGTCCCTTGATCAGCCACAGCCTGTCCAGTCGGCACGCTTCTACCAGCGCGTTCCCCAGGGTCGCCGACGTGAGCAGCCTGTTCCACAAAGGTTAATCCTTCGTCGCAGTTGGTGAAACCTGAAATTCTTCTCTCTCTTCTACTACTACCATGCTGCTTGCAAAATTGTTGTAATAAACATTGTTTCATAACAATATCTAAGCGTTACACCCGCTTTAGTCAACGACCCTTTGGGCACGTAACATTTTGACTCTCCGTATAAGTAAGTCATCGGCCTCGTTGTCACTTTGGGGCAATTGATTGGGCAGACCCCAAGGCTAGCCCGAGGTATTTATAGGCGCCAATGCGCCAGACCAGACAGCAGTTTAGATTGGAACAGCAAAATGGTTGGATATCTTGTTGTCGTCGCTCTACTCTGCCTTTCTGCGACCACCTGCCGGGTGGCGGGAGAGGCGGGGCGGCTGAAGTTTCCTCGACCTGCGAGGGTAACATCATTTCCATTGATACTGCAGAGACAGGAGGATGCGGCGCCATATCCACCGGCGGGTCCCGTGCCCAATCCACCGTTCGACTTGCCCACAGAGGAGGCTGCCGTGTTTCCCGAACCTGATGATACCTATGGACCGCCAGCAGAGGCTTATGGACCACCAGAAGATGTGTATGGACCGCCACTTGAGGTCTATGGACCCCCAGCTACAGTTTATGGCCCACCAGATCAGGCAGCCAATGATGACAGCACCAACAGCTTGCCCCAGAGTGCAGCCATCATAAATCTGGCCAGCCTGCCTTTGCCGCCTCAGGCTCAGTTCGTTCTGCCTTTACTGAATAGATTGACAGCCTTCCGACCGCTGCGCCCTGTCCTGCTGACTCCACAACGTCGACCGGCCAAGCTGACAGCGCGCCCACTTCCACAGAGGAAGCCAGCCAAAATTGTCAATGGCATCCAGGGACACGCGGTTTTTCCATCGACACAGCTGGCACTGCCCTTTATGGACCGGCGCATTCCCTTCCGGCCACGTCCTGCGCGCTTGATTGTTAACGCTCCACTCAGGAGGCCAGTCAGGGATTAGCACGCATTATCACTATTCTGACCGACAGCAGAATGCTCCAATGATCCCGATACATCTCACACAAGTTCTGTAAATAAAGTTTGTTGTTTATGTCTAACCTTTGAATTGGAACAGTAATTGGGTGTAAAACGAGTGGGCTCAGAACGCCAGCCGCTTCATTAACAGATACATGTGCTGGTCCACCTCGAAGCCGTGCAAATTGTTGGCATCACCCTGAAGGCGCATGAGGAGTCCACCGAACGAGACGTACGCCGACAGACGAGAGGCTTCATTGTGGGCCTCGTCGCCCTCAATGCGATAGATCTTGCCGTACATCACATACTCGAAGCTGTCGGCCCGGGTACCCTCGTGCTCCATGGGATTGTATTCGCCGCTGTCGGGGCAGCCGTCTTCGCGCAGAGTTGTGGCCAGCACCAAGCGGAACTTGTCGCCCAGTTCCATGGGATAGAGCCACGAGTTAATGTCCAGTATGAGGTCCATTTTGAATGACTCGGATTCGCAGTGCAGGCGGGATACACGGTCGAATTTCTTGCCCTCGGGGTCCATGTCCTTCACGTTGAATATATCCTCGAAAAGTACTCCAGCCATGGTAGCTGCAAGGGTTATGTATGAATGTTTCGAACAGCAAGAAATACCCATTACCTAATGTATTTTACCTAGTTTTATGTGTGTAGTATACTTCGGTGGTTGTACTGCCTTGATAGGTGCAGCTTTTATTATTTATTAACTTGTATATTTACAATTAATATAATTGCGCGTGTTTCTAAATCAACTAGGGATGGAAATGATTGAAGTATCAATATCGATATGTATTTGCGGTTTATATTTTTATGGATATCATTTGTGCGGCCTTTGTAAGAAACTATAGATTTTCATCCAAGCAATCAGGAGCTCGATACTGATGCACGGATTGGTATTCTATGTGGGCTGGAACATGGCTCTCAATAAAATTGAATATGATTTTTACATAAATTTTACTAGGTGTGCAAGCGGAAGGTGAGTAAGAGACGTGACACTTTGTAAATGTATCAGTATCGATACTTTTGTGCGATAACGGAATATGGATTTTGAAATGAATTGGGCGCGGCTAAAAAAAAACCTAAATATTTTAACGGTTGTTGGTGCTGTTGCAGAATAAATCCACTCTTTCTCATTGGTGATAATTTTCTAACTACTAGTAAATTATCAAATAAATTTAATTCAATATTCGTGTTCTCAAAAGCTGTAAGAGCCCGTTACTATACCTTAGTGTTGTCACTAAGCCCAGTATGCAGATGATCAACATTTTCTTTCAACAGAATCAGGGATGATATCCCCATCCAAACGATAAGAAATCAACACTTTTTGTTTTTGCAGTTGAGAACTCAGATTGGCAGAAAATATACCAGAAAACAGGCCGATTAATTACTTCAGATACCGCAGCGAAAGAAACAATAAATCTATCTTTTGTCGACAAAAACAAGACACAAGAAAGGAAACAAGCGAAACAAGACAAGAAAAGAGCTAGAAAAGAGCATTAAATTAAGACGTATTAATGCAGTCGAACCAAAATTGATTCATTTTGTAAACAAACACAAAACAGTGTACGCAGAGAGCATGCCCACCTTGGTCATACTGCAATGACGGATATCAGGCAGATTGTCTTCACAAATACTTTGATATTGGTTAAATTTGAAATTGGTTTTATATATCTATAAATCGTTTGCAGCCAGCTATGAAAATATTCCACCTCTAAGCTGAAGATGTGACCGTACATTATTGCATTCATATACCATCTCTAACTCTAAGCTCAACGAAAACACCACCAAAAGAACTCTTATTTATATTTGTATTAAACAAATTGGCTAATTAGCAACAATTGACTTGCCTGACTTCGTGCGTAGCCTAGGACTATCCGCATAGAAAAGGATGGTTGTTCTTAAAAAGCTCTAGGCAGAGACGGAGCGCGGACGGTGCTCGAAAAGTATGTACACTCTTTGATGGGCGTTGAAATTATAAACAAATGAACTCCAAGTGTCCGTGGAGAGAATGTGGCAGCGCAAAGCAGAGACGGTGGTTAGCCCTAGCGGAGATGTGTAAGGTTTCCGATGCTAATCTGGTCGTTAGCTTTTCCCAATGGCGATGATGGTGAGTCCAAGATAGACTAGTTCTGGTGATGGTGACTTAGTGTGTACCCCGATTCGTGTGTATACGAAACATCTGTACTTCTTAGTTCGTAATAGTATGTAATTATTTTGTGGTGCTGGAAATTACTTACAAGCCAACGAAGAGCACCACAGAAAACTGTTGACTCGTGTCGCGGGTACTCGTAACCCCACGAATTGTCGAATACAAAAGACTTCAACGCTGACCTCCCCCTCCCATGATCAACCAAAGGCGACATCGTCTATTTAGCATTACAAAACTGTTGTTTTTATGTATTCACTTCTTTATTTTCGCTTTTTGTATGATTTTCGCTGTCGTTCGTGCTTTTTCCTCGTTCTCTTTCAGTTGAAATTTTCAGTTTCAGCTCTGGATTCTCTAGCTTTAATTTGCTTTTGTCAACGGCTCGGTTTCATCGGTTCTGTTCTCCATCGGTGTGGTGCGCAATGAGGAAGGTAACGGGGCCCATTATGGGATGGAGTCTATAAAGTTATCGAGTGAGTTGTTTTCGACACGGGTGCGGCTTTAATGAAGCATTGCACCGCCGTGGCGGAGGGGTAGGGAACGAGGGTTCCTGAGGAACGGAACCAACCCAATCTGTTTGCCAGATGTTTATTTTCTGCTAACTGCTGCAGGGTCATCGTCTGCCCCGACTTCGAGAGCATTTTCTTTGTGCTCTGTTTCCATTTTCATTGGAAACTCCGCTGCCTTCGGAAGCAGTCACACGCCTCAGGTTGCAAGAACAAAAAGTATGAGAGGCTATCTACAGAACCTATCTATAGCTTCTTGTGTGAGTGAGCATGTGTGGTTTGTGCGCTAGGTCTTATCGGCAGCCGTACAGTCAGCTCGCCTTATCAGTTATTGCCTTGCTTGCCCGAGGTCCTATTGCTCGATCATTATTTATCTCTATATAATCTCTGGCGATCCGTTCCGTCTGTCTCCTCCCGCACAAACAAAAGATTGAGAAAGCAAACTGGGATTGTTATGGTCTGGCCAAGTGTTCCCGGGAAAACCCAGATGATAAAGTGATCAAAATAAAAGCAAACAATGTTATAACTTTTTTAGTTCTTATCAGTATTGACACAGCTGAAAGTTCTGTTTTCTGTTCTCTTTCGCTGCTCGCTCTTTGGTTGCTGTTGCTCTTGCTGGTTCTGTTTCAGTTACTTTTGTATTTTTTTTTTTCGCTTTTGACGATTGATCGCTTTGTGTCCGCGTGTCCAACGTGTGCCCGTGTTTTGTATTTGTCGTCAGAAAGTGGCGGTGCACTACCGCATACTGCATTACGATCTAAAGCTGTAACAACTCTCAACTCTTTTACAGCCCATCTGCTAGGCTCCATCTAAACTAATCCAAAGGTGTTTGGGATCTATCCTAAGAGTATCGAAACCAAAAGTAAAATAAAGTAAAATAAAAACAAACTACCACCAGTACATCGTAGAAATATTAATAACCCCGAACCGTAAACTTAGAAAAAAGCTGGTGCCGGTGTCCAAGAAAAGCCCTAGATATCAGTACATAATTAATCTTAAAATGGTGCGCAGCCGTCGCAGTCTCTCCAAGGAGGATGCCGTGTCCCTGCTTACCGACAGCGGTATCTCATTGTCATCGCCGCCTTCATCTGCGGCGCGTGGCTCCTCGCCAACCACCTCGACGTCGACTCTCATCAAGCGCAGGAAGAGCAGCCTCACCAGCCTGCAGGATGCCTACGCAGAGGAAGACACCGAGCAGGACTCGAAGGATGCAGACTATGTTCAGCCCACGCCCAAGAAGTCTACGCGCAAGTCTGAGCCAGGGCGCCGCAAGCAGCACGTGTGCAGCCATTGCTCCAAGGAGTTCGGGGGCAAGACTGATCTACAGCGCCACTTGCTGATTCACTCGGACGAGCGGCCGCACAAGTGCGTGGATTGCGGAAAGTGCTATCGCCAGGCGGTGAACCTGAAGAACCACATAACCACTGCACATGAGCACAAGAAGCAGTTCGTCTGTGCCGAGTGCCCAAAATCGTTTGCCCTCAAGGAGCGACTTAGGCTGCATATGCGCCTGCATTCGGGGGAGAAACCGTACCAGTGTCCCATCTGCGACAAGCGATTCGCCAGGGGAGGTCAGGTAAGTGCAGTGCAGGTGAAACCAAAGTATGACATCCTTTAAATCTGCTCTCTGTCGTGCCTTCATGTCCAGCTACAACAACACATGGTGTCCCATCATAAGACGTGTATACAGCAGTTCAACTGCACCAAATGCTCCGCCAGTTTCTCAACGAACGCCAATCTGCGAGTGCATATGGTGCGCCACGAGCAGGGCATGGAGCACCGGTGCAGCATCTGCGAGAATCAGTTTGCCAATGAGCTGGCCCTACGCGCCCACATCAACCAGAAGCATCACAAGCTCACGCAGTTCGAGTGCGAAATTTGCCACAAAATCATAGAGCCCGACGAGGACCTAGCCACCCATATGCTGAAGCATGCGGCTATCAAGACCCATGTGTGTGAAGTGTGCAATTCGTACTTTACCCAAAAGTCTCAGTACAACGTCCACATGAGGATGCACACGGGCGAGAGGCCATACCAGTGTCGAGTAAGCTGTAGTCGTACAAATTCCCCTGAAGATCCATATTTAAATAGCTTGTCGCTCTCTTGCAGATCTGCCACCAAACCTTTGCCCACTCCAGCGTGCTCAAGCTCCACATACGCAAGCATACGGGTGAGAAACCATTCCGTTGCCAGCTGTGCACGGATGAGGTGGCCTTCTCGCAGTTGGCGCATCTCAAGAACCACATGAAGAAGATACACAAACAGCAGAAGCCGTATATGTGCGATGGGTGCCATGAGTTTTTCAAGATTAAGGTGGAACTGCAGGCGCATGCCGAGCAGTGTGCCAAGTGTCCGGCAGCCGAAGAAGATAGCACGGACAGTCAGTCAGACGATACTCTGGTCCTCTCCACCATACGCTTCAACATGGCCGTGATCCTCAAAAAGATAAGCTCTGCCCAGAAGCTGCGTCAACTGGGCTATGAGAAGCGGTTAATTGATAATGTCATCATTGCCTCATTGAAATTGGCCCAGCGTCCCACGCACGACGATGCCAAGCTGACGCCTCTGGCCAGGCTTCTTCTGAATGTGGAGGAGTTCCTGAATTGGATTGTGCCAGCCCCTACCATGAAGAAATTCAGCGAAGAGCTGCTCTCCATCACCACCATTCTGGACAAGATTGCCACCATGTATATGAAGCAGAAGTAGAAATCAGGAAGATAGGAAAGTGTGCCATAGATGGAGACGAATAAGAAAGATTTTTAGGAATAGTTCTTGCCATTTGATTTAGAGCTTAGGAACACACAGTTGTAGAATGAGAAAACCAACCAAATGTTTGAACCCAAAGATGTTTACCAATTACCTTTCAGTAACTAATTGTAGTCGACCTTAAAATAATTGCAGCTACCAAATAGGAGTATATTTTGAAAAAGTTGATCCTGAAACGCTTCCCTTTTGCGGATTGTAGAGTTAAGCTTAGCATAAATATTGTCTAATGTTTCTATGCAATAATTGTTATCCAACAGAAACCGCTGTAATTAAGTAAACCAAAGTTGAATTCGATTTGTAATTAGTCTTGCCAGAACGGAAGAGTGCTTAGCGTTGGTCGAGCCTCTCAAGCTTGATTAAATTCAATGTGGCCATGCATATATTACGATTAAGGTATTTCGTTAGTTTCTCCTCACCTTGCCCCTTTAGGCTGACACTAATGCACGAAATGTACAATCATTTGTGTGAAGAGTGCAAATAAGAATAAATAGATGTAAATGAAAATCGCCAATCAACTAGTGGAATATGTAAATCAGTTTTGTGGAATATATGTAACTTGTCAATCTCTCTCAATTGGTATTATTTCAAAACGTTCTTCTCGATCAAATCGGACGGTTATATTATTTTATGCTTGCAGAGGATGACGGAAGACACCTATGCAATTACAGAAAGAAAAAGTTTTTATAACAAAAATTAGTTTATAGACGTGAGGTATATTCCCTATATACATCGAACAAATGTCTTGGTGCCTGCTGCATTCCATATTGAATGCTTCTGAACAAAGGAAACACATCATGCCACACACACACACAGAGACACACCCAAGCAACCAACTGGGTCTGGCATCTAACCACACAAACAGTTAGGTACAACTGCCCCTTGGGTCTGGTCCGGCTAGGCACCGTCCCTGCTTGCTTCCATATATGGAATGGGTTTGTGCACAAATTTATAAGCCACTCACATTAAGGCGGAAAATATTTTTATGTCAAACAGCACATTGCATGCTGACTCCACTACGAAGCAGTGCCATCTGCAGGCGTTGTTACAACTACCGGGGATACAAGCCCCCACCCCACCACCCACTCCGAGCAATTAATGAAATTTCCACAGCGAATTTATCGACGGCGACGGTTAGTGTCAACCGATAGTCGGGAGGGAGAGAGTGCGGGGCGGAAAATGTGTTTGCCCAGAAGATGTATGCAGAATTTTATGGATCAAATATAGTTATAATTTTATGATAGCCATGGCCAGGTATTTGGCCAGTCCTTTGGCGTTGGCCATTGCGTGTCACCTGAACCTGAGCGGCAGCGACTGCGACAGCCATCTCCTTCTGCTCTTCCTTTCGCCCCGACTCTGGCCCCCTCTCCATTGGCCTTGGCTAGAAGCTTAATGTCTACATTTGTTCTGGCCATTGCGTGCTCAGTGGCTGCCCTTTTTGCAATCTCAACCAAGTCATGGCACTCTTGCTCCTAGACAGGCACTCCAGCCAGAGCTCCTTCAGTCTCAGGCCCGTCCTCAGCCGCACCATTGCCATCTCCAGCAGCTGCTGCTGCCATGGCGCATTAGAACAAATTGCTCTTGTTGCGATAGGAGGGATAGACATGCCTCTTGCCTTGTTTGGACCGATGGACGGAGTGCCACTGCTGGTTAGTGCCAAAGCACACTTCTGCCAAGCGTTCACCATGATAAGTCGTTCAGTTTGTTACAGATGGAAGTAGCCCCTTCTTATAATGTATGTATATAATATTATCTGAGTTCCAATCTTGAAATTCAAACTTATATTAATGAAGATTTCGTTTAGTTTTTCCCAATTAGACTTAGCCAGTAGAATTCGACATTTTACATTGTCAATCTACTGTAATTGATTCTGCTGTCTTTATAGGGTATTAAAACTGCATCTCCCCATGTCAGGTTAATCTCCTTGTTTATTTTTCAAGTAAAACGCGCTGCAAATTCGTGAAACAAATATTCAGAGACGTAAGTACGCATGTTTCGGCTGTTGGCCAGGTAGGTCTGGTTAAGGCCCTAAGCCTCATCTGCATAGGCAGATATGGCCGGGACACTGTTAATGATGGGAAAACAGAGGAGATACCGGATCCCGCTCTAAGTGAGGACGAGGCTTCACTGCCATTTCCATTTCCTTCTTCCCTTCTGGATCTGTACTGCAACAAATTGATTTGGCCGTGGCTCTGGCTTTGGTTCTCTTGCCCATTTGCATTTACTCGCTTGGCATTATATAATGCATATATAATTCTTTTGTTGTCTGCTGCTAATTCGAAAATTTACGTTGGTATTGAGGTAATGTCATACCAGCCGAGGGCAGGGTTCCGTCGTCCCTCACTTGAACCCACTGCACGCAGAAAAAGTCGGAGCCAGCCAACCATCTTGGCAGTTGCCCAAGTTCAAGTTGCTCGTAAATTGTTCACTGACATCTAATTTGTGTCGACATACAGATTCGTATGTCAGTAGATAGAGCTGTGGCATTGCCCAACCAAATTTCAGTAGCCCACGCAAAGAATCTATAATTTTCTGGGAATGCCTATGTGGAACAATTGCATTGGAAAAGGAGAGCCGTGGACTTTAGACGAGTATGAAATCATATGAAGACGCCTAATCTGACTAGATTTTGAATATTCTTTCTTGGGATTTAAGAGGATATGCATTTATGTTGAGACCCAAGACTCTATATCTATAACCTTTGGCTCCACAGCCTTGACCATCGAATATTCTGACCCGAAACCAGCCATTGAGGTCATTCAACTAAACCTGACAGGGGCGTTTAAGGAGGCAGAGTTAAAGTCAAGTCAGAAGTCATAAAATATATGCAAGCCTGGGCAGTCAGACACAGACTGCCTCAACAAAATGTACGAGTGTACAGATGGTTTTTGTGTAAATCTTTGGCTACAGCTTTGGGTACAGGAGAGGGTATGTGGTATGGGTATGGGAATGGGAATGGGAATGGGTATGGATATGAGGTCTTGGCCTGGCTATGGCTTGTGCGTCGCTTTGGTAATCCAGGCCCATGTCTGCTCTGCCCTTTTTGCAATAGCAACAGCAACAGCAAAACAGCACCAGGAACAACAATTACAAATGAACGACTTCTTTGTCCTGTCAGCAAAGGCTGCTACCCGAGCGGCCGGCCCAGCATCAGCAGCAATTCGAGTCCCAGCGGTGGCATGAGCCATAAGTTAAGGCCCAAGCCGCAGCTTGATTTCTGAGGTAGCATCCCAAAAGAGGGGGCGTCGTCGGAGTCGTCTCCATCTCCATCTATGCTGCAAGCAGCTGCTACGCATAAAGCATACGCTTCTGCACTGAGGCAAAAGGTTGAGAGTGAATATGGATTTGATGGAAATGATTGAGTTGGCAATACACTCAAAACTCAACCATTTCTTCCAGTGAATGGAAGTCTTTTGGGGAGTTGTTGCTGGCTCAGAACAAATATAAGTCCGAGTGCGCATTTGCGTCGAGTCGCTGTTACTCTCTCTCTCACTCTCTTTCTCTCTCTCTCTCTCTTTCTCTCTCTAAGTCTGTCTCTGTCTCTGTCTTCGTTTGTGTCTCTGTCTAGGAGTCAGAAATGTGCAACGTTATCATAACTAAGTGCATGTGGATGCGTGTGCCCCTGATTCCCCTCAAACCAAAACGAAACGAGACAGAGCGATCCAAGGGGAAATGAGGAGGAGAGGTGAACAGAAACAAAACCGTCTGCATATGCATAATTCATGCTATTGAACCTTCTGCGGTTATGACTGGACATGGACATAAGGCCCTGGACTTGAACCTCTCTGTAGTCGGGGAGAGGCGGATGGAGTAGGAGTCGAAGTCGGAAATGAAGGTGGAGCTGGGGTTTTGGTTGGGGATGAAGCTGAAGCTGAAGCTGAAGCTCAAGACCGCAGCCAGGCAACTAGAAAAATTATAATTTCACAAGTCATAATAGGATTTGCAATTCAAATGCGAAATGGCAACATAGACCCACTGAACGCGGACTCGAGCTTGGTTCCTTTGGCTGGTGGATGTGTCTGTTGCTGGTTCCTTTTTGTGGAAATTTCTTTGGAAGGAGCGAACAACAATAAGGGGCTTTGCTCAGCCAGGGACCATCCGGGGACTCGGAGACCGGCACAGAGCCACAGCCAATATGTCAAAAATATTAAGAGACATGGCCAATGGGCTCGGTACTGGTACTGGGAATAGGAATAGAAATCGGTATTGGTATCGGCAGTGGCAGTGACAGCAGCGGCAGCAGTGGAAGCGGCATGAACTTGGGGATCACACATAAATTTGCAAACGATAAGAGCTATCCTCTATAAAGTTGTAAAATTGACAAGCGCTGCAATGCCAAACTCACAAATAAAGCAATAAAATGAGCTAAAACATCTCCAGAGACAGGGAAAATGAAAAAGGGAGAGCGAGTCTTGTAGTCGCGCTCGCCATGGACAAAATGCTGAAATTAGAATTGAAGGCCAGCGGGTTGCTGTTGAAGCATCAGAAGCCCAGCCTCCTAGTGTGCTTGCATAGAATTTATGCCTGTCCGCAGACTGTGGGGATCGATGGGGATGGGATGGGAATCGGGGAAATATGGGATACAGATGAGCACGGAAGCATTATCGTTTGTCACTGGCGCATTCAAAGGCTCAATTCTCAATTCATGGGTCCGTGAGTCCCCATCGATGTAGAGGAGGAAGTGCGCCTCGAGTGACAGCAGGCAGCGCATAAAGATAACAAATGGGATGGCAGGGGGTTGCATCGTAATCATGTCAAACAAATACCAAACCACAGACCCTTTTTCTCCTCCACTGGGGCTCAGAGATCGGGCGGGCCCACAAGTTACGACTCACTTAGACTCCTGTTGGTGGCTTGGCGAAGATGAATGAAATGAAATGGCATATTTATTTGTAGCATTCTATTCCACGGAAGCTTGAAAATATATTTAGACAACTTTTGGCCATGGGAATTCCAAGCAGGGAGACACTAAAGACTTAAGCAACAAGCTTGACAGTTTTTCCAGCTAAACACGCAAGTGGAGAGGGCAGATTTTGTTAGAGCTTAAGATCACTCGCTGCTCAGATGAGACGTCATAAATATTTAATGACATTGGCAGCTCCGGACCGAGGGACCATACATAGCCATGATCTTGGCTTTGGTTTTTTCTCCAGCTTTGGGTTTGGCTTTTGTCTTCAATTTAAATCAAATGGAGCCAACGATGCCGTCGTCGCCATAAGACTGAGGACGCAGCCCTGGACCTGGCCTTTTATTTTTAGCATAAGCATATGATCGACGCTCACACGAGGGCATACTCATATTGTGAGTACAGATATCCTATATGCGAGTATGTAGGTTTGTGTGTTCTATTTTTAGTGGTGCATTTAAGTGGCGACCGCATTCAGCCGGGACGGGACGAAGTCTGAACTCTGTGGCCAAATGTGTCCCGCTGTGAATTATGTGTCTACATAAATTACCCGGCCAGGAATTAATCATTTTTTATGCAGGACTGCAAAGCTTGGCTAGATCTTGGCCAGTTTTTTTTTTTTTTTTTGCCCGCCCATTAGGTTCGGCCTGGTCGGGGTCTGGCTCTGGCTCTGGGCCTGGCTCTGGCTCTGGCTCTGGATCTGGCTCTGGAAATGTTCCAGTTCAGAGTGCCTTAAGGGGCACTTCGAGTCGCTTTAAATCTTTGTCTTTGTGCATGGGATTGGATCTGAAATAGCACAGGCAATCGTTGACTGCTGTTGGCGCCTGGCACATAAAAAACAGCTTCGGTAATTGGATTTTCGGGTATAAACTTGTAGAAAATTTGAATGGGGACCGATGGGGAACGTGCTGTATAAAGAGTCGAAAATGGAGTCTATGACTTATAATAGATTTAGGTATCCTTTCCTAATGGGATATCAATTTTAAGATTGATTTCCTCGGCTTTCGTTTCGTCAGGTTTTCATTTGAATAACCTGCATTTTCCACACTGCAACTACAGTTTTCCACCATTGTCCATGGTGGTTGTTCCTGGTCTGGCTGATCTGGGTTCCATGTTGTTGTTCCTTCCATAATTGATACGTGCTGCACTTGTTCACAAAGACAAAATCTGCCTGCCGGCTATTTGCTTTTCCTTGGCGAATGCGAATGGGACCAGGACTGAGACTGGGACTGAGCCTGGGATCCATCCATCCATGACAGGCGCATGGGGCTTGGAGAAACACGAGTGGGGCGTGGCAGCAGCAGAGGAGGCTCGTCGCCGCCCCATTTGGCCTCGGCAGTGGGATTGCATTAAGTGTCAAGGAAATCGCATGTCCACCCTTGTCTGGGGCCTGTCTGTTCTGCGGGTGAGTGCAATTTTATGCGCAGGATATTCCCTGGCCTCCGCCCCCCTTGTAAAGCATTTTATAATTTAATTTTCATATGTGGCAGTGATTGGGAGTCGGGATTCACGCTCTTCCCTCCAATAGTGGGTGTTACTATTGATTTTTATCGATGATTCTGCAGGCCGGACAGCCATAAATCAGTGGGTACGATACCACTGTTCACATTCCCCTCCTTGGCTTTCATCAACTCATTTATCACTTGTGCAAACAGAAAGAGGCACAGCTCTCGAAAAGGGAGAGACCCAAATGACTAGAGACATGAACTAAGTGCAGTGGTCCTCTAATGTCATCGGATGGATCTGTGTACTCCCTTTGCTTCTGCAGGCCGTCTCCGCAGCTACCTGCAACAAAAGTGATAATTAATGTGTAAGGCGTGCTCCCCGCACCCTTGCTGAGGGTCCCGTGCAAATTGTCAACATTCGAGTGGGTTCGAGTCGAGTCGAGTCGAGTCCAGTGGAGACCAGAAACAGACTCCAGCTCCACATGCTAACCAAGGTGCTGACACTAAGCACTTGTCACCCAGCCTGGCGAGGAGCCTCCGAAGTCGGCAACATCTGCATTTCAGTGATGCCGGGACACCGGAAGGCGAATTCTGTGATTTCTTTCGCAGGCATAGAGGTTCAAAGATAGCAATCTACGAGTATATGATGAAATTATACTCATAATTGGGAAGTTGATGCATACATACATATGTGTGTCCTATCGCTATATATGAATCTAATAGGTTATCTTTGTAAAAGATCTTCGAAAGCAATATCGGGGATATATTTAAGAATCCTTAGTGCATTTAGGAGCTTTAGATGAACTCAAGACATATGTTCGGGTTTCCATATGTCATAAAATAACTGAAGAAATAATGTATGGATGCTTGCTTCCTTTTGCCTGCAAGGAACATTTTACCTACTTCCGACCCCCTTCGACTCGTTAAAGCAAACGAGTCCAGTGTCACGATTTGCTTGTCAGTGACTTCCATGGAATCCCCGTGACACAGTGTGATTCCCAGCCCTGCTCATCTTCAGCACGGCAAGCGTGCCTCTCTGTGTCTCCTACTGGCCCCCACTTTCCCGGCCTGGGACATGTCTTCCCCTGCAGCTGGACAAATTGCAGCTGTCGTCGTTGCCGTTTTGTGAATGTAGACTGCTTTTACATATATGTACATGTACATACATGTATGTATAACTGCAATATATACATTTATATTGCATGCATGTATATATATTTGTAAGCCTTTTCATACCCGGTACAGGAAGAGTAAATAGGGTATATTTTATTTGTGCACAAGGAAACATTTCCGACCCCATAAAATATATATATTCTTGATCAGCATCATTAGCCGAGTCGATATAACCATGTCTGTCTGTCTGTCCGTCCGTCCGTCTTGTTGAGCGCCTGGATCTCAGAGACTATAAAAGCTAGAGCCACCGAATTTTGCCTACAGACTGCTGAGATATCACACTGATACAAGTTAATTTTAAAAATGAACCCCGTCTCTTTTTTCCGCCACAAAGAGCGAAAATCTGCTGTATTCACTATTTTGAAGATAAGATATAACTAAATACGAAATTTCTTAGGGAATGACCCTATCTATTACATCACCGATTTGAGATTAGATTAAATAATTATTAGAGCCAGAATGAAGAAATTAATTTTCAAATGGCTACCCCCACCCCGTCCAGCAGTTTTGGTTATTTTTGGACATTCTCTGTTTTGTGCAGTGCGCGGCTCTAGGTGAGGGGGCGAGCTAAAAGAACGTGTTGGCGTGAGAAGTGATGTAGATGTAGATGTAGATGACATACATCTGTAGAAACAAATTAAAATGTAAAATGCAAAATTTGAATGTTCAGATGTACTACTGAATACCGGGTATAAAAGTAGTGACGCGTAAAAAGCGTCTCACTCGTCCCTCCACGTTTTATTTCGAGTCGTTGTTATGTGCGTAGTTATGCAAACAGTGGCCAGTCAGAACAAGTTGTGGCTGCTGTTGGTTGTCGTAATTAAAGGTCAACATTTGTACAAGTTGTCAATGGCATGACCATGCCTGAGCGAGCGGGAGACTGGGATTGGGATTGAGCCCCGAGCTTAAGGAGGCTGAGGATCGAGAAAGAAACCAGAGACCGCATAAATAATTCCCGCAAATGGGGGGAGTTAACCAAAGTTAAAAGCCCTCGGCACGTAGAGGAAGAGAATCATAAAACTTAATTGGTTTTTGCTGTTGTTGCTACACATAACAATACCCGAGGAAAGCCGTCTTAAGCTTGGAGTTAAAAAAAACGTTCTGAACGTCAAGTTATACAAGTTCATTTGGCAGAGTTTTTGCATAATCCCACGAACACTTAAATTTCAGCTAAAATCGGAGTTTTCCCAGCGAATTTTCCTTTGGAATGGATCCGCGTTAAAAGAAAGGAAGTACTTGTCCGGAGGGAGACTTTTACTCGCTCTTCGAGCCGGGGCTCATTTGTAATTTAGACAAAAGCTAAACATTCCGAGATGATTGCTGCTTCCTTCGATGCATTTGCTCTGAGGCGCTGACGCGGCAAATGAAAAATTTCACTTTTCTGCCATGGTTTGGTTTTTAACTCGTCGCTCGTCGCTCGTCGTTCGGCGTTGCACTTAACATTATTACTATTGTTATTCAACCCAAAATATTTTTAATGAAACTGGCCGAGTTGCTGCTCCATTGCTTGTGCAAATTGCAGTCTATTCTGCGGCCTTCCCTGCCAGCCGAGGTTCAGTGCAGTAAAAGCAGTCAATTTTCCTTTTACACTGCGAGAATATATGTACAGTATACATTTTTGCATAAGGGATTCTCCTTATGAATGAGTTACCCTAAGGATTATAAATAACACCAATAGTATTTTGGAGGAAATAATACTATATTGATACGATAGATATTTATTTTTACAGATTCCTTGGAGTATACAAAATGAACATCTTTAAAAATATGAAAGATCTGCGGAGCTCTTGGTAACTGCCCCTTGTCTTCGCTCAGTGAAATTCCATTGCCTCGTCATGCTTTCTTTGTCTTTTGTTTTATCTCTCCTCCCTGAGCAATGTTCATTGTGCGATATTTGATGCTGTTGTTGCAAATGTTTGGTTTGATCGTTGTTGCTTTTTCCCTGCGCTAATTACGGACAGAGCGAGGCTTTTTGTGATTGATTGCAAAGTGCAAGACAACGAACGCATTGCAGTATTGCCTGCTTCCACGAGATGGTTTGGTTGCAACTTGTGGCAGTTGCTGCTCTTGCGGCTCCCATGAAGCGTGGCACGTGTTGCGTTTAATGTGCAGTTTCTATTACTCTCGCCGCGCTGTGGCAGTGGAAAGTGAAACTCTATTTTATGAGGCAGATAGACAGCGTAGCACTGTAAAGCAGAGCACAGAAGAGTAGACGACAGAAGACGAGTCAAGACCAAGCCAATCCCACTCATAGACTGTTGGTACTGGTACTGCTACTGGGACAGGGACTACGACTGAGACTGGCCAACAACTTGCACTTTTGGCTGATAATTGACCTCATTTAAGATGCGGACGCTGCGATAAGACTGATAGGAATTAAAAGCGGCATCCACTAATTTAGCCCCAGAGCAGGGAGAGCCAAGTACTATGAGAAGCCAGAGAGCCTGACGATGATCCTTATCGATCGGCCCTAAGGACTAGACCAAAAGAAAAGTTGTCTTTGGCTCTGTCTCTGGCCATGGCTACGGCTACGGTGGCTGCTGCTTTTGCCTCTGTTGGCTATTGGCTGTGGCCAGCTGCCGGTTGCCAATTTCCAATCGCAGTAAGCAATCGCGCCACGCTAACGAGACGACGACAACAACGTGCTGCAGGCGCTGCCTGCGAGGGTTGCCCGAGGAGTTATTTCTAAAGAGTAAATAATTATGGTATCTTTATCTTATTCTCAGGAATCTAATTAACCTGACTTAAAAAATTTTGTATAAACACTTGTAAAATAAGTATTTTTAGCTCCAGCTTCAGCTTGATTTTTATGTCTATTTGGAAATGTTTATTTGGTGGTTAAGCTTGGTTGGGACATCAGAAAATTTCCTGAATAATTAAGGAATGTATTAATTGGATCCACTAACTTCTGGATCCAGCCACGTCCATGGCCAGAATGGGGAACGCGAACCCGAGACGCGTTGCAGTGGCTGCCGCTGCATAAGCATCTGTAACTTTTCGCGCTTATCTAAGCCATAAATCTTCGGTGGCGGTGGCGGTGGCAAGTCAAAAAAGCTCCTAGACAAAGACCAAAGCCAAGTCCAAATCCAGTCACAGACCAAGTCCAAGTCCAAGTGTAAGTCGTGCGGGCGTTGGCTCTGCCTTCGGATCTGACTCTAAATCCGGCAATTGGACTCGTCTTTTGAGTATTTGATCATCTTGACGGCCAGTGACTGGGTCCGAGCTCGAGACTGACTGGCAATCAAGTCTATGCTCGATTGTTGACGCGCGATCCTCGATTCTTGATTCCCCGATTTTCCTTGCCCGATTCCCTATCCGCGATTCCCAATTCCCCGTTGCCTAATGCCTGCTGCTCGATCATCCTCCGCCGGCTGTAACTTTGTTAATGGGGTAACGTCACTTTTTGTATCTAACAATAAGCCTGGCCAACTTGAGGGAGCCTGCATCTAATAAATGCGACCCACATACGATACCAGTTGGCCAAAAAAAAAAAGCCGCCGCAACATTTTTGTGTATTGCCCTGCCCTGGCCTTCCATGGTCTGGCGTTTGGTGTGTTGGCCTCAAAGCATGTTCGGTTAGTGGTGGCAGGCTGGTGGCCTGTGGCAGGCTGTGTGGTGGCAGGGCAGACAGCGTTTCCAGTGGCTCAGAGGCAATAAATTTCAATTTGCTGGCCGCGGCTGAGCTCTCCCGGCTCTGGGCTCCTGCTCGCCTGGCAACAACACAATGCGGAGGTAAAATGATAAAAATTCGATTACATTCAGGTGTGAAACTTACATATATTGCAGCGATTTACTCGTTTTTTGTACTCTACAATCTGGTAATTGAGTCTCTGGCCTGGCCTGGCCTGGTCTGGTTTCCCACAAATTTATACCCGAGTTTTAGGTTGATTTAAATCTGCGAGTAGAATAATAAATATCTTCGATTTTGGATGTTGTGTACTGAATCATTCAAGCCAGAAAACTGTTTGAATAATGTTTCGCACTTTCTTCAAGGTATCTACTGTCCTCAGACAATACCGAAGTGAACCTCTTAGATCGGAGCTAATCTTTCGCTGTAGCCAGTCTCGGGCCACTCAGGTAGCTCAGTGCTGGATCGACTCGAGTATCGGCTGCCTCCTTCTGTTCTCTATTCTCGATTCTCGAGCAGCTTCTTCTTCCCATCCAGACTGTGCCAATTGCCGGCTAGATGTGCTGTAGTGGGAGCTGGACTGTGGCCGGGTCTAAGCCCAGCTCTGGCATCCTCCTCCTTTGGTCTGCGGCCCTTGTTGGTCATTAATCATGCACTGTGAACGACAAGCGTATAAGTTACTAGCCGATTGGCCCCAAAAAAGGCCATTGGAATTGGGCTCAGCGAGGGTCCAACTGCAGCCGCTGTGAGGACTAGAAATGGCCCAAAGAAAGTCTTAGCCTTGCATCGCATCGCTTCGCCTAATTGGATGCAGATGGGCATAACGGACCCGACCCCAAAGACCCCAACTAGAGGAGTTTGCTGATTTGATTCTGGTAACTGTGATGGTTGCGCATCGCTGTGATCGTAATCGTTTATGATCAGTCAGTATCTGAGGTTCTATAACTGTGCTGAAGTGCCTGGTCCTTGGGTTGACCAGTAAAATATGTTTCGGATAAGGACTTGGCTTTTTCGGCATGCCCATAATCGAAACAGAAACAATGCTGGCCACAATCACGCTTCGCTTTGTTGATTTTTGGATATTTTATGCTGCTCTTTATTCGGCTTGGCATGCGATGGACTTGTGTCATAATTGAATTGCTCGGCCGAGAGTCTGGCACGCGATGTGCAGTGGCTGGGTGGCGGAGCGTTTATACTGGTTTTCACTTTTCCTAAAGGAAAAACGTTGAGCATGATGACGCATGCTGCAGGCAACTAGAGAAAAAGAAACTCATTTATTGAGCTACGAGCGGGTTCAATTTCCCCACATGAGATACGAGTCTGGATGGCAGCCCTTTTAAAATATGGACCATTAGGAATGTTCGTGGAGGCAACACCCACAATGGCTGGCCAGAGCCGTTAACAACCATTAGCACTTTGGCACATAATTGATACGTGGCTGGACCATAACGCGCCACGACAGACAGGCACGGGTTTGGCTCAGAAAATGACGCTGTAAGAAAATCGAATAAAAAGGAGTTCCCGACTCTTTCCTTCTCTTGATGCTCTTGAGATGTTCCTATAGAACACCTTCGGGGGCGTTGAGCCATACGACACCACAGGGCCTGCAACTTGCATGTCTGGGACGGTTGGGACAGCGCGTTCTGTACGGTTTCGATCCCTTTCGTTCCGTTCCGTTCCGGAACGTAACTAACAATTTATTTAATATGCTGTACGTGCGCTTTAATAAAAGGCTCAATCAATCTGTGAAGCTAAGAACAAAACCTAAAGAGATTCTCCCTAAAACGGAGACCGAATGGGGAATGCTCTATAGGATTGTACAGGAAAGGTTTTTTGCAATAGCATCTTTGTACCCAATGATACGCTTTCATTATTGATCCCAGTGTACAGTTTGGGCATTCAAGGAAACCCATCCATATGAAACCCATATGTTCGGAAACGTCACCGAATGGAATTACTATGTCACATTCCAATACTGAATGCTCTAGAGCATTTCGGACTAGACTACTTACCTCCTTCTTCTAAAAGATGACTGACCCGATATGTTTTTGGAGCCGAGTCGAACCGAACTGAATCTCTTTGAAGTGCGCATACAATGTCTCGAGTGCTTTGGGGCCTCCAGAATGATGCACGAGACTCTGTAGTGACAGATACATAGACAACAACGAGCACAATGCTGATGATGATGATGATGATGGTGATGATGATGATGAAGACGATGACGCTTGACGACTACGTCGATGTCGATCCTTTTGACGCTGCTGCAGACAGCGTGTCGAATGAACTGCTAAGGAGGAGGACGAGGAGAATTGGTTGATGTTCAGGCACTGAGCGGCTTTTCGCTAATGAAGCCATAAACATATGTATTATTCCATAAATTTAACTGAGGCTGCCTATGACACCCACACGGAAATATGGTGGGCGCTGAAACTGCAGCTGGAGCTGGAGTGAATTAGTCTTGCCTTTTAACTTGGGCTTGATAATGCGACTAAAGTTTATGCAGTTGACGACAACAACTGCATTTAATTGTTGGAACAATTAGCCACGCAAAGTGGAGTACCAGTATCAGTACCAGTAACAGGGAGGGAAGGTAATCTCCCTGCACAAATGGAGATTACTGCAACGGAAAGTTATTTTTCTTGTTGCCGCCCCTTGGCACTCTGGCACTCGTGGCTGGTCGTGGCTGTCTTTCAAACGCCTAACAAGGTGTCAATATCTTAAAAATTTTATCTTTCTGCACATAAAACTCATGCGGATCATAGTAAATCAGCCTTTGGTCAGGCTAAAGACGACGGCGACTACGACTATGGACCAATGCCAACTCTTAGACCAGAGTTAGCCAGCATCTTAAAGGTCTTTAAGCCTCTCCCCTCGTCTCCTCTCTTCGTTGCTTCTTCCTTTTAGACAAGGCAAAGCCTTAACCCAAACTCCATCCCGCAGCACCGACAACAATGGACGGCTCTCTGACCAAAGGAGCGAGCAATGTGCCTCTTATACGCCGGATTTACGAGCCGACTCTCGCCGCCACCGCCACCGCCACAACCGCCACCGTCGTCAGAGTCAGCGTCGTGGCACAAGAAATATTCGATGGCCAGGCAACGATTAAAACGGACGCTTCACGCATGCGCGTTCACACACCCTGATACTTGCACTTACATTTATATGCATTCTGCATAATGGACTGAAACACATGAACCAAAGCACAGCAGAGGGCATCCTTCTAGATCACTCCTAAACTCAGCCAAGTTCCGCCTGTGGACCACAGAGCCCACCCACATACGCTATGCAGAGGAGTCACTCTATTGGAGGTATGCATTTACATATTCATAATTTTGTATTCATCTTTGATTCTTACACCCCTTTATATACGCCCGTATATAAACGTGTGTCCAGCACTGTAAATTGTGGCTCGTTGTTGCTGTTGAGCAGTGTTCACTGGGTACTTGGCCTGGCAGCATGTGCAGGAACACCACAGAGTCAGTAACAGTTCTCTGCAGTTCAGCATCGGCAACAGCATCAGCATCAGCGGGGTAGGGTTGTGTCGGGCTCTGGCTGCGAGTTGTGTTGGGGCGGAGAGAGCATGCATGTGGGATACGGATTGGGGTGCCTCATCATGTGCACATTGCACGCACGTGATTAAAGCGTAGCCCCGTCGCGAGAGAGTGTTCAAGGGCGAGGGACTAAGACTGGAACTGGGTCTGGGTCTGAGGCTGGCCAAGCACTGCTTATAAATCAGAGTTCGCTCTTTTTTTGGGACGACAATGAACCCGATTCGAGATGCAAGAGGAGGGAATACCTCGCCGCACTACATATTGATCAATAAAAACGATCGCCAAAGGCTTTTGTCTCTAGATATTCGGTACATTCCGTTGGTGGCAAGTTCAATGCACTTGTGAGACTGGTTTCAATTTAAATTTCGAAATGCATTCGCGAAGATTTACGCGCGTTTTAAATACACACAGAGAGTGGGAACTCAACGAAAATTAATAATTGAAGGCGCTTTGAGGAGCATTCCCAAGCCATTTCCATTGCGAGTGATGATGCTCCACGGGCTGACACTTGACCCAGACGGCGCCGGCCTGTCTTGTAGCAAATAAATTAAGGCGCTCATGAAGTGCCACAGGCTACGGACCGAGTCCGACTCTGACACATTTGTGGCCATGCTCCGTTCCGCTCAGGGCAACCGTCGGCACTTCTATGGATTCTTGTCCAGGTACAGGTCCAGGTCCAGGTCCAGGTCCGGGCTTGTATTCTAGTCCAGACATTCAAATCGTTCGAAATCAATCAAGTTCGTGGAGGATTAGGGTCTTTGGCGCCGATGCGATGCGGCCAATGTAATATTAGCCAATCTATGCTAGAGGTCAATTCTCTGCCAGTTCTTGTGTCTCCCCTGTGAATTCGTGAAAATATTCTAGGCCCATCAAAGTGGCAGGGAAACAAATTTAAATATTTTATAATCATAAAGAAAGTTAAAACAAAAGTCAGGTAATGAGATCGGTAAGGCCAAGGAAAAAAATTTGTACAGATACAAACAAAATATAAAAAAATAAAACAAAAACTTGCCTTTTGTTGGAATTAATCTAAATCAAGAGTACACATTCATCTATATGAATATTAAAGTCGTATCATCGCATTTCTATAGTGTCTTTTCAATATATTATAGCTCCGTTTCTTATGAAAAATAGCTTAAACGCATGCATACATATGTACCTACGTATATTTTTCATCTGGAAATTACGTTTACTACACAAAATATATGTACATATGTATGTATGTATATGTTTGTACTTTTATTTTTCCCTGGGTTGCTCACCAATTGACTTTTGGCCAGCGCGCACGAGCCACAAACCCAAACTCGACTTGATCTTGTGCCCAGTCAGGGGTTATTAACGCAATGTGTCTCGGGTTTGTCATGAAATTCAATCCAGCGATCCGGAGAAAGGCAAAGCCTAATCCTTCATAAGTACAGCGAATTCCTCTTCCTTGAGATTGTTTTAAGTTGGAAGGATTACATAAATATCTGGTACTCAAGAAAACTTTGGTAAGACAATATTTGCAAGGCCAACCACCAGAGCCATGTGGCAGGTTTAATTAGAGAGATAGTAAAGAGACGACAACTACAGCCTTGGATTATCTAAACACGGATTAGGCACAACACGCAGACAAATTCTAATTGAGAAATGCTGTTTAGAAATAAACATACAAGACGCTTACGAGTATACTCTCAGAAATCATATTTATAGGTCCCGTGCATGGCCGTTTCCCGTTACTCATTTCTCGAATCATCTTATGTTCTCCGCACGAATGTCTTTCCCTGCCTCTGATTAGATCTAAATGTGAACAAGTCTTCCAGAAACAGGTAGGAATCACTCAAGATCAGAAACGACCCTGAGTTATTGCTGTTTATAGCGAATCACAAATATGACTACATGTCGTTTATAACACATTTATACATATGTACATGCATACTTACGTACATACGTAAGAATATAATGCCGGAGAGGAATGTGTGATCTCCACTAGCTCCATCTACTACATCGTAACATTTGTTCCGTCTAAAATACCCGGAATGGTGAGGCTAACATGGCTTCTAAAATGGACATGGACATCTCTCCCAATCCCTTTTGCACTAGCTTTGATTATGGCTATTATGGGAATTAAGACTAAAATATATACATGAATACATATGGATCTTATTCAAACCAATACAAAATTTTAAATTATGTTATATGGGTCTAATAATATGTACCAATACCAATAAAGTGAAAATTTCCGTTTTGCGTGCGTCTTCACACACAAACGCAAAAACGGCTCGATAATTGTATGGGTGCCGAGCTCTGGTCTAATTATACCCGGTACTCGAAGAGTAAATAGGGTATATTGTATTTGTGCGAATAACGGTTGTATGTAACACACAGAAGAAAACGTTTCCGACCCCATAAAGTATATATATTCTTGATCAACATCAATAGCCGAGTCGATTGAGCCATGTCTGTCTGTCCGTCCGTCCGTCCGTCCGTCCTTATGAGCGCCTGGATCTCAGAGACTATAAAAGCTAGAGCCAAATTTTGCATCCAGACTTCTGTATGCTCACACTGTTACAAGTGCATTTCAAAAATGAGCCACACCCCCTTCCGCCCCCGCAAAAGGGCGAAAACCTCCCAAATCTACAATTTTGAAGATAAAAGAAAAATAAAAACGCCATTCCGTTGGGTATGGCCATATCTATCACCATATCACCAAATTGGATCATTAGTATAGCCACAATGAAGAAATTAATTTCCAGTGGCTAAACCCACCGCGTCCCGCAGCTTATATTTGATTTTTGCACATTCTCTCATTCACACTCTGCTTCTGCATTATGCGGCCTCTGCCTCTGCCGATTTTTAACCCACCCCGTCCAGCAGCTTATATTTGTTTTTTTTTGTGTGCGGGCGCTGCCTCTGCCTCTGCAGAGTGTGTGTGTGGGTCTAGGGAAGGGTGACAAGCTAACTGTTGTAGATGTAGATTACAGATGAAGAAAAAACAGAACCGCTAAGGTGCAGATGTAGTACTGAGTGCCGGGCATAAAAGCGTATCACACGTCCCTTCTCGTTTTTTAATTGATGTTCTCGTAACATCTAAAACTATCTAGGAATGTATTCATAGGAGATGTTCCAGCTATTTATAATAAATAATATTTGTAACGAAGTGGAAAGACTTAATCGTGGCGATAAATAGAAACAATAATCGTCAGTCCGTATCTGCATATACATATGTAATTAAGAGACTTAATTCTAACTGTAGTAATACGAGTAGAACCAGAGTGCCGTTCCCCAATTCCTATTGGTATTGGTGCGAGTATTGCCATTCCCAGTGGCTCAACACATAGTATGTCGATATATCATTAGCGGGCGTTTGATTTCCAATTGCCTTTTGTGTGTGGACTTGCTGTTTTGCTCCTTTGTTGAGACATTTTCAAAAGAATGGATGTGGCTCTGGTGAGTGGGGCTGAGGCTGAGGATGCTCTGCCACAAAACCAGACCTCAATAATGGTATAGCTAATAACACTTTCTTGCCATTTCGATCCGATCCAAATCCGAATGAAAGTGTTTTTCGATTTTTGAGAGAGCGATTGAGTGTTTGTATTACTCGATAGTAGAGTAATACTTAATACTATATGGGAATTTGGGGATTTCAGTGATAGATTAAGTGATGGGTTCAACTTAATCTAAGAACAACTCAAGATACTTGCCGCTATAATCTACACACTAGAGTCTAGACGCTAGTTCTAAGAAGCTCTTTTACCTCTGCTGCTCTACCTGTTCGAACTGCAACTCGAACATCGTCTTTGGTGTATGGTAGTTCGCTTCAAACATGTCTCAAACGACAAGACAAA